TACGTATTAGCTACAAAAGTAAGTAACGACAAAATGTAAATAATACATTAATTTTTTACATTAAGATATTATTAAAAATAAGCTATAGAAAAGTAATAATACATCAAAAAAGTTATCTAATACTCAAAAAATAATAAATAAAATTAAAATGGAGATAAGAAAAATACAGTAAATGCTTTCCATAAAATTTAACGTCGGAAGCGCCATCTGGTACCGATCGGCTTTAGAAATTGAAATTACGGGAGTGCAGAAGGGGAGATTTTTTTCCAGTTATAATGTTTGATCAGTCAGAAAACGTCGATCATAATATTAAATATAAGTAAAAATCCTTATGAATAATGTCTTACTTTACGTTTCATCCCAGAACGGGAAGTATGGTATTGTTAAGCAACGAAAATCGCACTGCACTCAGACATCATCCGTATCAAGAGTTCAATAATGGTTTAGTTATGAGTAATGAACCTTTAAAAGATAATCAACTGTTTGAAGTTCGCATTGATAGAAAGGTAAACTCTATCGAGATACACGTGCTTCGTGCATATTGACACAATAAAATCATCTTTACCTGTAAACAGTTCTCCTTACCACAATGTTTGAGTAGAAAATTAATAATAATTTAATAACTTAAAAATCATAGATTGTTGCACTCATAAATTATGCATTTAATATTGTTTAATGCTTATAAGTTACATTTAATAAGAAATTTTAAGAAAAAAAAAAGACTCAATATTGCATTAAGAAGCTTGGAGGATGCAATATTTTGAATTTTTTAGATTTTGTTGAATTGTATGTTGTATTTTGGAATAGAAGAACGTTGTGATTTTTTATATGGTATGCTACTATTCAAAATTTGCATCTCTTGCATGTTGTGTTATAAGGTTTACACCATCTTTTAAATTATCAATCTTGACATTGATAATTTAAAGTAAGAAATCTTGTTTATAAAATTACATTTATAATGAAACTTCTGTGTATTTTCTGTTAAAACAAAATAATTTTAAATGCGCTTCAGATTTTTCAGAATGTAAATCTAAATTATCGAACATACCATTTAATAAAATATCGAGTTAAGGTTTAAGTTTAAAATATGTAAAATACAAAAACAAAAATTGTAAATTTTAAGATATTTACAAAAATCTGAGTGAGTTAAAATAATTATAAGTTCAATGTCTTTCAGTTACTTATTGCACGATACTATATTATGTCATACAAAATTGATCACTTGAAAAAATATAATTTTCTTCAATAATTTTACATTTTGATTAATTTCAGACAATATCTTTAAGCATTATCAGATTTTTGTGCTATTTTAAAAACTAGATTTTCAAATAAAGTGTATTGCACTCGTTACATGCAATTTTTAATAATGTTTAAATATAAATATTATTATTTTAAATTTAAAAGATATACAATAATTGTGTATATTAAATTAATGAAAAAAATAATAAATAAAATTAAAATGGAGATAAGAAAAATACAGTAAATGCTTTCCATAAAATTTAACGTCGGAAGCGCCATCTGGTACCGATCGGCTTTAGAAATTGAAATTACGGGAGTGCAGAAGGGGAGATTTTTTTCCAGTTATAATGTTTGATCAGTCAGAAAACGTCGATCATAATATTAAATATAAGTAAAAATCCTTATGAATAATGTCTTACTTTACGTTTCATCCCAGAACGGGAAGTATGGTATTGTTAAGCAACGAAAATCGCACTGCACTCAGACATCATCCGTATCAAGAGTTCAATAATGGTTTAGTTATGAGTAATGAACCTTTAAAAGATAATCAACTGTTTGAAGTTCGCATTGATAGAAAGGTAAACTCTATCGAGATACACGTGCTTCGTGCATATTGACACAATAAAATCATCTTTACCTGTAAACAGTTCTCCTTACCACAATGTTTGAGTAGAAAATTAATAATAATTTAATAACTTAAAAATCATAGATTGTTGCACTCATAAATTATGCATTTAATATTGTTTAATGCTTATAAGTTANCCTTAACTAACATTTTTTTTTTTTTTGTTTATCATGTCTTATAAATAATATAATTTACTAAATATATTTCTCCTTTTTTACTGTATGGTTTTAATATTAAAATAATTTTATTTTTTCCCTTTTCCTCTATAATTTAGTTTCCTTAATAATCTTAATGTAATATGGATGCTGTATATTCAAGTTATATATATAACATGAATATAGTACAGCATCCATAAAATCTTTTTTGGTTGAGTCTCTTTTCTAATCGAAAGTGCTGCAAGACCGTCAACCAAAAAATATTTTTTGGATTAAAGTTATATATATAGTTCCCTTAATTTTAATTAATTGAAAAGATCAAGATTTGTTTTTGCTGGATATGGTTAAAAAAATGTTTTTCATTCTAACCCAGGACCTCGCATGTGGGATGAAAGCCTGGATGTTGAATAGTGGTGATTTGATTACAAAAAAATTACAATCATTTGAGATATGATGCTATAGGAAAATGAGGAAAATGTGGACAGACAGGGTTCACAATCAGGAAGTAACCAAATGTTTAAACAAGAGAACCAAAATCATAAACATTATAAAGAAAAGGAAATTGAAATATTTTGAGCACATTATAAGGAATGATATTTATCAATTACTACAAAATATTATTCAAGGAAAAACAAAGAGGAGACCTATGTCAGCAGGCAAAGAAAATCATGATTGAAAAATTTTCATGTGATTTGGTATAAGATAGACTTGGTGTCTTATACCAATCACTTTATTCAGGAAAGTCAAGGATAGGACACAAGTCTCATTAATAGTAGCAATGTTCTGTAAGAATGTGACACAACAAGTAGTACTACATGCTTTCCCTTTACCCTTTAATTTCTATTTTTCTGTAAAATATGTAAGTCTTGTGGAGAAGTTATTGAAGTAATTCTTTTCTCAAAGTATATTTTAAAAAGTTCTGAAAAATTAGTATACTAAACATGAATACATTTTCTTTGTCAGAAATATTCTGTGCTATATATTTATCAATTTTATCAATGCCACTATTTTAGCATCATCAATAAATCTGCTTGTAGAAATGAGGTGAGATATCGAAAACAAAGTAAATTTCAGACATTAAAAATATAAAAAGATGAGACTGATTAGAATGAGGGATTGTTTTATTTTCTAAAAGCTATGTTAATATTAAGGAAAAGTCTAATCAATGACCCATTTGGGCACTTTTTTTTGTAAGTGAATGCATTTAAATTATTTGTAGCTGTTAAAAATTAGTGTATTTTTGTAAATTTTAAATGTTAATATTAGTATATTAAAATCTTATTCTCTTAAAATTAGTATATCATACATATCTGTTGAAAAGTTTTTAGTGATTGAATTAATATTATTTTGAACAAAAAATTTGTGTTGATTTCTATAAACTGATGTTTAAAATATGCTTTTTTTTTCAATATTATATAAGTTGAAATTTGAAAATATTGTTATTACGGTGATGATTTATTATTATTATTTTGGGTTTTGTGAGTTATACTCAGTTGACACTGGTGGCAACTGAATATGTGCCGGATCAGATTCAAGGCATAGTAACCAAAACAAAACAAAAAAATAAACTGTGTCAGTGTGTTTGTCTGTATTCAGAAATTTCCTAACAATGTGACATGTATTCATAATAGTGGCATTCTATAGTGTGATGTATGTGTTTCTATTCAGTTGTAATATGCCCAGGCATTTGTATAGTGTGTATGGTATGATACTTGTAGAGGAGAGAACAACAGGCACAATAAGCATCCTATCCATCCTCCACAGATGCCTTATTTTCTAGGCGAGTTCTGTGTACTTGCTGGTTTTTTCAGTGCATGTATATTGCACTGTGTTTTGTACATTGTGTTTGGAATGGATATGCCTATAATGTATGTGATTTTATTGTGTTTTGTCAATGAGTGTGATGTCTAGTCTGTTGTGGTAAATTCTTTTATCTGTGATTATGGCTCTGTCATAGTACATTTTGTGTCTGTTTTCCAGTACTGTCTGTGGAATGTATTTGTAGTATGGTTTGTGGATGTCTGATAATTTGTGCTTTTTTGCAAGCTCTTGGTGTATTATATTTGCTACTTGATTATGTCTGTGTAAATAATCTGTCTGTGCCAAGAGCTTGCAACCAGAAGTGATGTGTTGTATAGTTTCTGGCATGATGTGACATTTTCTGCATGTGTCATTTGTGAGTGTTGTATCTTTGAGTATGTGTTTTCTGTAGTTTTTAGTGTTTATGACCTGATCCTGTGTGGTAATCATGAATCCTTCCATCTCCCCAAAGAGGCATCTCTGAGCTAACCAGCTGTTTGATGCAGTTTTGTCAACAAAACCCCAGGACAGGGATGCCTGCCATGGAGTGAATGCCTTTTGAACCCATGATTGATTAATGGTGTCTATGCTTTTTATATGTTGTGAGTGTAAATTTAAGTCTGCTAGAGTTACTGCTTTATGTAACTGTGATGTTTCTTGTTTTTTGTAGAACAACTCTCGCAGTGACTGTATTTGTTTGTAGTGAAGGTTAACTATGTCAATCAGGCCATGTCCACCATTTTTATGTGGAAGGGTTAATCTTTGAAAAATTGAAATATGTATAAACTTTAATTTTTTTTTTCAGATGAATTTAACTTTAAAGAGCTGAAAATATTCATTGTATCAAATTTTTTTGTTGCATTTTAAAGATTTATTTTAAATTTCAAAAAAGTAGCTTAAATATTAATCATTTTTAATGATTAATATATTAAGCTACTATTAACTGAAGTATAAGAGGGAGGAAACAATCAGGGAAATGATTTTTATTAATCAGCTATCTTTCAGACATCACAAAAAAGGACAATTTAGACACTGTTTGGCCAAATTGTCTTTCTTTTCCCTCCTTCCTTCTGGTGCTTCAATTAAGCAATTTTATTATTAGCATAATGAATATAAAATTTCTTAAAATAACTAGGTAATAAAATTTTAATTATGAAATTAAAATGTTTTTATATTCATAGTTGGAGGAATTTACACTGTTATAAGATCAAAAGCTGGAATCAGTACAGAAGAACTTGGTGATCAGTATTGTCTTTTCGGACCTTATAATGAGCCTATGGTTCGAACAGAAGTTGAATGTATTGAACCTACTGAAGTATATTTTAGGAATGCTATACAATTGTTCAAGAACATGGGAATTAGGGTAAATTTATTATTATTTAATAAATTTTAATACTATACTATAAAATCAAATTTCATTAATTGAAATATTCTATATTTACCAGAATTAAACTAGAGCTCTTAAGCTTTTTACAAGAGTCAAATATGATTTGTTTCTACTTAAAATGCTACTGATCCATTGTAAGAAGCCTAAAGAGAATTACGGTCCTTCTTAAATTAATTTAAAGATCTCTCATATGGATTTTTGTTTAGTAAAGTACTTCAATTAATCATAATTTTTTTAATTGGTTAAAACAGTTTTTTTTTCCCTTAAACCTTGTAATAGAAACTGTTACATCTCTTGCTATCAGTAACCTTCACACAACCTACTTTACAATCATTGATTAACATTACTTCCTACTGATATATAAAATGGTTTAACTGATATCGTACATCAAAACAATTCAATTATCAATATGTATAACATTTTAATCACTTATCTTCCATTCAATAAATGATAAATTTATAGTAACTAAATTTGTGCCAAAATTTTAAGACATTGAATAAATACTAACATTACCTCTGAAAATATATACACATTTATCAGTTAATACAAAAACATTTTTATGTGATTATCAAAAATAAATTTAAAAATTGCATAATCCAGTGTGTATAAGAATCAAAGGACATAATTTTATTGTAAATTATTTAAAAACTTTTAAATTTAAAAAGCAACAAATAAATCACTAATATAGTAATAGGAAAACACCTGAAATTCTCTAGGTTTATTAGAATTAATTCCTAGATAGTAATAAGAATAAATACATTAAAGATTTCACATAATGAAGATAGTTTTCACAACTTGTCTGTTTTCATACTACAGTTTGTGAATTTGTGTTGTTTCTGTGGTTTAAAAGTGAATGAATTGTGAAGAATTTGTGTATCTTTATGCAAAATCTTTAATGAATTCATTGTTCAGGTTACGTTTTGATTAGTGTTTATTAAATACAACTTGTTTTAATTTCATTTTGAAAGATTTTCAAAACATCTGTCTTGTTTAGAACATGATGATTCTAGAATTGTTTTATTAATTCCAAAAGAGAAAGAACTAGGGAAAAAATGTTGCAAGTTTTTTCCAACGTAAGCATTTTATATTTTGAAAAATGTACATATGGGATACTGAGGAAAAATGAGGAGGTGTAGAAATGTAATATTACTATACAATGCATTTATATTTTTTACCTTTTATAAGATGCATTATTGGACACACCACACATTTTTTGGGGGAAAATAGTCTTTACAGTACAACTATTCTTTGATTAACATGATTAATTAATCTCTTGATGCTACCATGTATATCAAAATCATGTTAATCAATTACAGTATCTGTTAAGTAAAGACAGCTGCCAAATTCAAAATTTGCTATTGAATCTCTAGAGGCCAGATAATTGGTTCAGTACGGTACTATATATTAGTTTAAAAAATATATGAAGTATTGATAACTATTCTCAAAAGAATAGTTCAGAAAAATAAATTAATGGAAAAAATTATTTTAAATCCTGTTAAGCTTTAGAAATTGTAATGTTTGATTAGTGCTTCAAATTTAAAGTATTATAAATTCTTTAATTATGTATTAAATTTTTTACTTTTTAACTTCAGGTAGTCCATGGACGTTGGTTAATAGATGGTTATCCTAGAGTTCTCTTATTTGATATTGGTTCAGCAGCATGGAAGTTAGATGAATGGAAGCATGAATTATGGAATATATGCAACATTGGGGTACCATGGCATGATAGAGAATCTAATGATGCCATTATCTTTGGTAATCTTGTTTGCATGTTTTTAGAAGAGGTAAGAAATGCTTTAATTAAAATTTATATTTTAAGTAATATCTTCATTATTTAAATCTATATAACAAAAAAAGAAATAAGTAATATTTAATTTTGCCTGTGACTATATTATTTCAGAACATAGAACTATCAAATTCCATCATTTATGTCATTTTTGTTTTTAAATTTTTCAAATAAAACCAAATCTGATATTTGTTAATAATCAAATGATGCAGTCTGATTCTTATTGGGTTATAATGTGATTAATTAATTCCTTTAGTATTCTTAATAATTAACCATGTTATAGCCCAATAAGAATCTGGCTGTCTCTTTTCTTTCTTTCTCTCTCTCTCTCTTTTTTTTTTTTTTTTTTATAATCCATTCTTTTTTAATTATCATAGAAATAAATTTTTAAAAATGTTTTTCTTCATACATTTAAAATAACTGATTTATTTTATTACTGATGGAAGAATTTATAAATTTGTAAAATTTATAACTTATTACTGATTTATAACTTATTTATAACTTATTACTGATGGAAGAATTTATAAATTTTACAAATTTATAAATTTTACAAATTTATAAATTCTTCCATCAGTAATAAAAGATAAAACAGAACAAAATTTATATTTTAACCCTATCTATTAGCCTATTAACCCACCAATTCCCATGTCAAGACTTACAAAAAAAGATAAAATTTTTTTCTAACTTATTTATGAAAAAGGAAAATTACATCTCTTATTTTTTAAGAAAGTTTTTTACATGAAAATAATTGTCATCTTGGCTGTTTTACTAGTTTTTATTAATATTAATTTATATCCCCTAGTTTTTCAGAAAATGGAGTGTTGACTGTAGATGACACTGGGCAATATTTGTATCATATATCCTATATGACACCTAGTATGTATGACAAGAAAATACAAAGTTTATTCAAAAGATAATTTGTAAGTCAAACCATTTTTATAATAATAATTTACTTTTTGTGGTATTTTTATACCAGTATTTTACATGCAAACCTATATTGCATTTTAAACACGTTTTTCAAGTGCATTCGTGATACAATTTGCACCAGTTTGGCATTGCTTGCAGTCTTTTCTGTGTGATCAGCTGGAATGTCTGCCAATCTTATTTTGCTTGAAACTCTCTTGAATAGAAATTGCACAATTGGAATTCTTTGGAGCTTCCCATATTTTTGTAGATAGGACATCACCAAATCCCTCTGTAGGCCCAATTTTTTCATTTAGATCAGCCAAGCATTTTGGCAAGAAGCATTTAATCCAAAAAGTCATCATTGTGAAATTTCACGATGAGATGAGTTCATTGTGTCTTCCTTTTTCTCACATCCTCATATATTTAGGAGCAAATCTCCTTAAGTAACAATATTGTAATGCATATTCTATAAACTTCGGCTTACAGGATGGCAGCACTGAATGTCTGACATCCACATTTTTGCAATGAAAACATCAGCCACAACCTTGCTATTACCTAAACATTTATTCAGACTTTTAATTGTTGGTCCTTCAGGATGTGATAAATTCCATTAACTGTTACATTCAAAGAGTAATTCCTCTGTAGGACATATAAATTGCTCATGACTGTAATGAATTGTACTAAGTCTTTATTTACTATATAATAACTCAAAACATTCAGTGACATTTAGATCATCTTGACATTTGCCAGAAACCTATTCTTTGTACACACTTCCCACAGGAAGAAAAAGCAGATATATCAATGAAATCATTTTTTATTGTGAATTTCTTTTTCTTGGCAATAGGTTCAGTGGTTACATCTTTGTTTTTTACAATTGATATTGGAAATCCTGACTTGCAGTTCCATGTGCAAATGTAATATTTGACTAGGAAGGTGGAAAAAATTTACCTTGTTTTCATCCCTAATATCTTCATCAGTGACATCACCATTCTCAAGTAAACAAAATGATGTTGCTTTAATAAAGGGATGTCCAACTTGTGGCTTGCAGGCTGCACTGCGGCACACTTAATATTTTCATATGGCCCACTGCACCTGAAATTTTTTAGGTACCTTTTCATTTATTTTGGTAAAGTATGTGGTAAAAGTTGTTCTGGTTTCACTGGATACACTTTAACCCCCTTCCACTTTGGCATTCTTTCTAAATACGAGTATATAATACAGACATAGGTCTATCTACACTTCTTTTGCTAACATAATAATTTAAATGTTTTTAACCTCTAATTATATTCATAATTATTTCAACTTTAAATTTATATTGTTAATAATCCAGCATTTGGCATCAAATACTAAGAAAAGAAAAAGAACAGAAGAAAAGAGAGAAAGTGCAATATCTTTTGGCTAGAAAAAATATTTCATAATTGAAACATGCAATAATAATCTGCCTTACTTGTCATGATAAAATTGCCATGTAAAATTGTGCATTTTAAGAGTTTATTACAAAGAATAGAAGAATTTTCTGTGAACATTGAAAAATACAGTAAATTATGTGAAGTTTTGTTAAAAGATCTTCTGTCTTCAAAAAAATAGAAACTGAATTAAAATTGTTTAGTGATCCATTTTCATTTAATTATGTGGAAGCACCAGCCCAATACCAGTTAGAACTCATTGAACTTCAAAGTGGGGAATCTGAAAACTTATCATAGAGAATGTTCCCTTCTTGAATTTTATAAAGAATTTTATTCTTTCAATGGATTTGATGAAATTGTCAAATTTTCTAGAAAACTGTTAAGCATGTGGGGTAGTACATACTATTGTGAATGATTCTTTTCATGCATGAAAAACATCAAAACTGCTGAAAGAAATAAGTGGAGTGATTCTCATTTAACTAACATTAATTAAGACTAGTACCATAAAAGCAGATATTGACAATATTATAAAAGAAAGACAATGTCAAAAGTCACATTAAATTTATTTTTATTTTGTGAGAGTATAATTTTGTTTTTTATTGTAAATAATACGGTATTTTTTGTAATTATATATATTTATTAAAATTTGATATTCACATTTTGAACTTTTTAAAAGCATATATTTATATAAAGTACCTTAGTGGCTCACTGAATATATGTAAATTTCTAATTTGGCCCATTAGGAAAAAAGGTTGGACAACCCTGCTCTAATACCTTAACTACATAGGCTGTTTTTTTCAAGCTCCAATGATCCATTAAAAAAAAGACAAGTATAAATAACAAAATGAATTTATTACCAAAAGTTAGGTACAAACATGGTTACTTTTTGATATAATCACTGTGAAGATTGAGACATTTTTCATATCTGTGGATGAGCTTTTCCATCCCCTCTTCATAGAATGTTGTCTCCAATGACTTGAGATGTGCCCTAATGTTGTTTTGAAAATTGTTATTAGTCTTGAACCTCTGCCCTCCTAGCCACTTTTTCTGTTCAGGAAAGAGATGGAAGTCGCTCAGTGCTAAATCGGGGCTATACACTGGGTGTTTAAAGGTGGTGAAGATTTCCAGCTTTTAGACTTCCACGTAGCTTGGAACTTTTTAATGTGTGAAGACTTCCACCTCTTTCCTGAACTGAAAAAGTGTCTAGCAGGACAGAGTTTTGAGACTAATGACGTTCTTCAAAACAACATTGTTAGGGCCATCTCAATTCACTGGTGGCAACATTCCATGACAAGGGGATGGGAAAGCTCGTCCACCGATATGACAAATGCCTCAATCTTCACAGTGATTATATGTCGAAAAGTAACCATGTTTTTACACTTGCTTTTGTTTTATGGACCATCGAAGCTTGGAAAAAACCGCCCTCGTATTTCATCCAAAGTCAACCAAAGAAAAATTAAATAAACCATTACAGATCTACCCCAAAAAGCAGTTTAATTGAAATAGTGCCCAGTATCACTTGCAGGTGACAGTTTATTTTTAGGCTGATGTTTTCGGGCTACAATTTGAAAAAATTGTAGACCTATAAATTCCCACTGTTATCTGTCTGTACTTCCTTAACTTCAAGAATGGAGTTAGATATTCGAGACCAGATATGGAAAGCTTAGGGACAGGAGACCCCAATTAACTATATAAGAACTTCCAGTTTGCAGAAGTCACATTATTTCAATTTAAAAATTTCCTCCTGAAAGGAGTTAGATAACTGGCATGACTCTATTGCTAGCAGGAAAGTATGATGTACAGGGGAAGACAATACTAATTTGAGGTGGAGAGCATATATTTTAAATTAAATTGATTAAAAATTGCAGCCCAGTATTGTGACAATGTTACAATAAATAATTACTTGTTGTTACAGATATATTTTCTAAGATNTTCCAATAATAAGATATAATTTTAAAAAAATACAGTATTTACCCTTTTGCCATATTTTTTTCATTTTAAAAAGACCCTCTTAATGCCTACAGGACAAAGAGCAAAAAAAAAAAAAGAGAAAAGAAGCATAACTAGATTTTAAACTTTTCAGAATTCTAAAAAGCAATTTAAAATAATAATTAATTAATTAATATTAAACTAATTGTGAAGTTTTGGAGTTAAATTAATAAATTTTTATTGTATAGCCATTTCTTTATAATTTAAATACATTTTATAAAAGCTTTTGTTAATGGGTGTGATACAAGACTACAATTGTAACTAAAATAATCTGTTATGTATCTAATTAACCTGTAATTTGAATGTACATTAAAAAAACTATACTTCAAAAGGCTAAGTAGTTTTTAAATATTCATCATTTTAAGAAACTCAAAAAATTTAAATAAATATTCAAAAAATTGGAATATTTGAAATAATTATCATTAGAATTACTTGTTGTTACAGATATATTTTCTAAGATGTTCTGACACTTTTGTTGTTGTAAAAATGTGTGATTTACATCACTACAAGAATCAAGGGAGACTTGTCACCTAGAATGAGAAAAATGATCATTGAATATTATCTATATATATAACCCATTCAATGGGTGTCTGTCCCGTAACTGTTTGATAACGGACACTAGAGGCGCCCCTATCGTGTGTCATATTTCAAACATTCAAATTAACAATTTTAATTCTTATTTAAATTAACAATATTAATTTTTATTATTCATTTGGCCAATAAATTATTATTTGGTCAATATAACAATATAAATAATTCAGTATATTTGTAATAGGAATTTATTATTTCAGGGGCTTATATCTCTCGAAGTGTCACGAGTAGGGGTATGGTTCCTTTGACTTTATTGTTAGTACAGGGGTCTATGGTTTGGGGGGTCGCCACCTCTTCATTCGGAGGGTAAATCTTACCATTCAGACTTTAACAGAGTTGTAAAGCATATTGATGGGAACAAAAAAGTCAAAGGAACCGTGCCTCAGAAAATTTGTAAAGAACGCCCACTAGGGGGCGTCCCGAGCTACTAGTATGGAATAAAACTCAAGCACAGCTCAAGTATCTCAAAACTTGAAGTTTACAAAGTGACTATGAAATGTTTTGCCATTAATTTTAAGAACACTTCTACAATATCACATGCATGGGAGGCTATTTATGAACATTTATAATTTTATTTTTATTTGTAATTACACTTTATATATGTCTTTTTTATTTAATCCCTGTTATATTGTTTTGTATTTTATTTTGATTTCATTTTATGCATATAACTACCAGCACATGTTTAACAAGTTTTATTTTATTTTAATTTTTTATTTTATTTTACGTAACATTCCATAACCTGAAGATGGCTGTTAAAAACATTTGAAAACGCTTGCTCTCATAATAAATTTTTTCATTTTAACTGGATTACAGGTGATAGTTGGTGCTTTGATTTTGCAGTATCTTCCAATCTTAAAACAAATGAACTCAGAAAAGAAAATCGTAAATTACTGTTGAAATTGTGGAAGAAAACACTCAACAAGTTTGATGGATGATCATAAACTAAAACTCAATAGTGAGAAAAAATTGTTTTAAATCAAGCAGATATTAGCATTCTGTACGGAAAAAGGAGAAAGTATGTCTTACAGTATACCAGTTTGCAGACTGTGAAATGAACTTGTTCCAAAACGTAAATCATTCCTCTCTAGAAACAGACTCAAATGTGTTCAGAGTTGTAAACATATTAATTGAACATCTGAAGATTGGAATAAGATTATTTTTAGTGACAAATCAAGGTTTTGTGTATGTTATGGTGATAAGACTGTACATTTGTGGAGAACCAAAGAATCCTTTCATCCATCCATACTAAAGCAATGTGTCAAATACCCAAGGAATGTAATGATATGGGATGCCTGTCTGCAAGAGGTGTAGGCCATATGACAACTATTAAAGGTACCTTAAATATCTCAGGGTATCAAGAGTTGCTAGAATACATCTTGATTCTTTCAATGGAAGAACTTACTAGGATGAATGTTATTTTCCAACAAGATCTCACATCAGCTCATGCAGTGAAGTCAATCCAAACTTGGTTTATAGGTAATAATATCAATTAACCAGACTTAAATCCTATAGAGAATCTATGGGGTTAAAATGATGAATATTTAAAAACTACGTAGCCTTTTCACATATAGTTTTTTAAAAGTACAGTCAAATAACAGTTTAATTAGATACAAAACAAATTATTAGCAGATATGACTTATAATTTTAATGTTAAAAATTAGAAAAGTGTTAAAGACTGGAATTGTACAATTATAAAAATTCTTTTGACTGAGTTGCACTGTAGTTTCAAGCTGAATAAATCATTTTGCTGTCAATCACTGTGTATGTTAGCTATTAATTTTTAAATATTTATTTATATATTGTTTACATTTCTAGTTAAGGAAAAAAGCAAAAACCTTGTTTTTTCAGATAGAGGGTGAGTTCATTGATTCGTTGATACAGACAATTATTAGTTGATACACATACTAGATGCAAACATCAATCAAATTTATGCTCAAAAAGTGGCTGCACCGTAAATTGTCAGCTTACCATTTGGAAAATTCAGATTCAATTTGGTTCAGACCTCAAAAATTTATCACAGATAACATGGATCAGAATGTTGTTTTTTTCTTACCATGTCCATGGTATTCAATCCTATTTTAAGTCATTATCTGTTTTTAATGTCAAAATTGTAACTGGCTTCTATTGTAACAAATCTCTGCTTCAACATAACTGTTAAACTGTCAAGTTTAACATTAAAGAAAATTGGACTTCAAACTCACATTTGAGTTATAAATAAACACTTGGCTTTATTTTCATCATTTTTAGTTGATACGTGACAACAGCACGTTTCGGGCATAAAGCCCTCATTAGTCAACTAAAAAATACAATTTTTAAAATTATTACATAAAATATCTTACAAAACAGAATTAAAATAATGTATATTTCTTACCATATCTATTTTTAATCTGTTTTACATACAAGATCTTAACTTAATTGGTGCACACTTAAGTTAAGACCTTGTATGTATAACAGATTAAAATGGATATGGTAAGAAATATAGATTATTTTAATTCTGTTTTGTAAGATATTTTATGTAATATTTTTAAAAATTGTATTTTTTAGTTGACTGATGAGGTCTTTATGCCCGAAACGTGCTGTTGTCACGTATCAACTAAAAATGATGAAAATAAAGCCAAGTGTTTATTTATAACTCAAATATGAGTTCGAAGTCCAATATATTCGCAAAACATGGTTTCAAAAACAACATAAATTAAAGAAAATTATTTTGGAATTAAAATGAAAATGATCTTCAACGAAGAAAAATAATAATTTAAAATCAGATGTTCTCTGTAATTATAGTACATAAAAAAATTTGTAAATTTCATTTCCTTATATTTCAAATGTGTATGATTATATATTTTTAGTTCTATAAGCAAGTTGATGCAGAAAGAGAGAAGCCTTATGTTGTTGCCCATTTTCATGAGTGGTTGGCAGGTATCGGTCTGATTTTATGTCGAACTCGTCATTTAGATATTTCTACTGTTTTTACTACCCATGCCACCCTCCTTGGTCGATATCTTTGTGCTGCTAATTTAGATTTCTATAATAATTTAGACAAGGTAATTATTTATTTTTTATTAATTATAGTTAAATTAATAATTATAACAAAAGTTTTTCTTTTTAAATTTATTAGTTTAATCTTGATAAAGAAGCTGGTGACAGAGGCATATATCATAGATACTGCATGGAAAGAGCAGCTGCCCATAGTTCTCACATATTCACCACTGTTTCAGAAATAACGTCACTGGAAGCTGAACATTTACTTAAACGCAAACCTGGTATGTTGTAATTTTATTAAATAGTTTCATTAATATTTAAATTACTATACAAATCTTAATTATTATTTTCTTTATACAAAACCTTCAAATCTACAAATGATATTTTGATTAATTTGCAAATTAATGATTGTTAGTTTACCAATAAAGAACTTTAAATACTTGAACACCTAATAAAAGAATAACATCAACAATAATTACAATTAATTTAATTATTAATTTTTCTTTTTACTAAGAATAAAGTATAAACATCAAATAATGATCATGTTAATTAGGTTCACTAGGCTTATTGTCATTATCAAAACATAAGATTAAACTAGAGAATTCAGCTTAAAGGTAGTCAGTCTAACCACCCACCATTTTAGGAAAAATTCTAATTGATCTTGCAGTCCAATAACAACCTGTTTAAATGGGCTTATCATTAGCCATAAAATTTGGGCTTTAGTTATTTTATATGAATATTCTTTTTAATAAAGAATATAAAAATACATTTATAATCAGACCAAAACTTCAAAAGATGAAATAATAGGAACAAAAATTTATGCATTTGAAAGTTTAGAGAGATGCTTCTTTGCAGTTTTCAAATACAAATAAACTGTAATTATGATCACCTGTTATATACTTTAAGTACCATCTATTCAATGCTATCTAGAAAGATTAAGCATTCCAAATGCAACCAAATCTGGTAATGTGATATTTCAGAACATGCAGAAGACATTTTTGTAAAATAAAATTCAAAATGCATTAATGTGGCACTTCTTGCATTGCAAACAATACAGTTTCTTTTGTGGAGATGTTTAAAAATTATGGTTTATCAAGCCTCAAAAACATAGTAAAAAAAAAAAGTAGAGAAGCATCAATTGGTTGCCATTGAGCACACTGTTCATCATCATTAGGATTTGCATCTTTTATAATGGGGAACCATGCCAAGCAGTATATCCTGCATTGTGCTAAATTATCTGTATAGCATGAGTCTTTACAAATAAATGTTTGTTGCTTGATCAGAAACAAAATATAATTATTAAAATATTAATTTGTTTCCTTAATATTGTGTACATAAAATTTCATTTAACACTTTCTTTCAATAAGTAGTTGAATACATCTTTTTTATGATTATTTTTTTTAATTTTAAATTTATTTAATTATTTTTCAGATATTATAACTCCAAATGGTCTGAATGTAAAGAAATTTAGTGCAATTCATGAATTTCAAAATTTACATGCTTTAGCTAAAGAGAAAATACATGATTTTATAAGAGGCCATTTTTATGGGTAAGATTATCTGAATTTTATCATTACAGTAGAGCATCGATTATCCGAATCAATTGGGGACTGAGATCATTTAGAAAATCAATTTTTCAGATAACTGATTATGTAGGAAAAAATATATTAACTTATCCCATGTTGAAATTTGTTCAAATCCTGGCACGTCTTTAAGTACCCTTTCATGGTCACACCAGTGCTGCCAGCTAAAACACGCACACCAACAAAAATAATATTGGAGTAGCCCAAGACATAGCCAAACATTGCAGCATCACAGTACTAGCGGAAATTTAAATTTGCTGACTGGAAAGCTTTCGGTTAATTGACGTTTCAGTTGATTGACATTTAGATAATCGATGCTCTACTGTATTTTTAAATTTATGATAATTAAAATGAAGAGTGGACAAATATTTTAAATGACTTGTATAATATAACTTTAATATTTGATTAAGTTTTCTTTTAATGTATCATATTACATAAAGAATGCTTCAAGTTTTTTGAAGCATTCTTTATGTTAACACTTAAATGGAGAAGATATGCAATCACTATGGCAGACTGTACATATTTGAGAATAAAATTTGAATTGTTCTATTTTATTGGATAGTGAAAAAATAACCTACATGCATTCTTTATAATTTATGTATGAATAACCAGTATTTTAAATAAAAATAATGTTATATTAGATGATTTTAAAATAATGTAATTAATGATACAGTTTACCACATTTTTTTTAGTTTTAACAACTATCATGCTAACAATATTTTACAAGTTAATATTTGTTTTAAAGTTTAATTGCAATTTGGAGGTAGTAAATGGCTCCATAATTTAAGTTAGAAATATATAGAAATATTATGTTTACTCTGAATAAGGAAATTTCAAAAATATATGAGTAGTTCTTATTTCTTTGGGTATCTCAAATATTTGTTAGATATTTGAAGACATTACTACAAAAATATTTAATCTGGCTTCAGCATATTTATTACTTTCTATTTTAGAAACATTAAAATTATATATTGAAGAATAAAATTGAATTTTCATTCTATTGTAAATTTAAATTTTTATTGTTAAGTTTTAGTATATTAACTTGTTACAAAAAGTTTTATATTTATTATTATATATTCTCATAATTATTTGTAAAATAAAATTACTATGTACAAATATTTATTTTTGTATAATATTTTTCAGACATTATGACTTTGATCTGGATAAAACTTTATATTTCTTCATAGCAGGACGATACGAATTTTCAAATAAAGGAGCAGATTTATTTATTGAATCTTTGTCAAGATTGAATCATTATCTAAAGGTTTGTATTGCTTCTTTTCATGAAAGAATCTGCTTTTTTAATAAATATCAATAAATTTGTTTAGCTGGTATTTTAAAATAGCTAAATATTCCATATATAAGATTTAAATGCATCTTATAATCTCACTTAAATTTACAGAATATGAAGGTAAAAATTTTTACTGTAGTTTGATTGCACTGATATTCTATTTACTTATTTAATTGGTTTATGCTTCAATGGAACATATGTTCCAATTACAACAAATTCATTTAAATCTTGATAAATAAAAAAAGAACTACAACAAGCAAATTAAGAAATTCTTAGTTAATTTTTTAATTCAATAGAAAATTTAGATTGTCATCATAAATATTGCATACCATTTGTTCTAAAAATTATCTTTTAAAAATGAATATTTCCCTCCCACACTTTTTTAAATACAGATAATAAAATTATTTGAATTTAGATGATATTGATGATGACATTTTAAATTTTGAAATCTGATAAATATGTAATGCTTAATAGATTTTGTTATAGATGTTTTATTATGTTTGATTTAAAAATTTAGGAGATAATTTGAATATTTAAAAAAAATTTACATGATATGATGATAAAAATATCTTGACATTTGAGAAACCAATGATTATATTTAAAGATTTCTTTTAAGGGAAGTTAAAGCTGATTATTAATCAATATACTTTTTAAAGTAAATTTTCAATATGTATTGTTAGATTTTCTTTAACAGCTATGTTTCTCAGTGAAATTTTTATCTGTTATGAAACTTTATACATTTACATGATTAGTTTAACCTCAGTCAAGACTTTTACTCAGAACCCAGTTAACTTTTCTCATTAAACAATCCCAATTTAATATTATAACAATTATTTTAACACTTTCCATAACTGAGTTAATTTTCTTTAAGTGAATTAGTGACATATCACAGTATTAGCCCTCTGCTAGAATTAACAAAAGGAAGAATGACGTGTTAACTTCAAAATTTATTCTGTATGAACTCCACTTTGACCTATATTCTCATTATTCCTAGTTAATGTAATCAGGATAAATTATACCTCTATTAATCTTGTCATGTATACATAATGTAACAGATCTATTCTTCAGTTTGTAAAACCTGTTAGAAAAAAATTAATTTCTACCTACAATTATCTGTTTCAACAATAAGTTACTAGCTTGTTTTTTTATTTTGTTACATTTCAGACTTCTAGAAATGATCTGACAGTAGTGGCTTTTCTCATTTTCCCAGCACGCACTAACAATTATAATGTTGATTCACTTCGTGGACAAGCCATTGCTAAGCAATTGAGAGACACAGTTCATGATATTCAATCTAAAATTGGAAAGCGAATGTTTGAAATTTGTCTCAGGTATTGACTATTATTTTTAATAATTATCAAAAATATTTATAATTTCTAGTTGTAATAATTGTATATTTATTAATTAAATTTATAAAGAAATTAAAGTAAAATTAATATTTTAGTGGCAAAATTCCATCAGGTGAACAGTTAATAGTTTCAGATGATGTTGTGAAATTAAAACGTTGTATATATGCTTCTCAGGTATAAAACTTAACTTTTTTAAAAAGAAAAACACATACACACACTATTTTTTAAAATTAATTTCAAAACTTTTCCTAGAGAACGAGTCTTCCACCAATTTGCACTCACAATATGATTGATGATAGTACTGATCCTGTATTAGGCCATGTTCGAAGATGTCAATTATTTAATAATCGCCATGATAGAGTAAAAGTAAGAAATTTTTAATTTTAAAATCCAATTTTAATGTTTTATAAAGAACTTTCTTAAATATTTGAATATATTTACCAGATTATATTTCACCCGGAATTTCTCTCATCAACCAATCCATTATTTAGTATGGATTATGAAGAATTTGTTAGAGGTTGCCATTTGGGAGTCTTTCCATCTTATTATGAACCATGGGGATACACTCCTGGTGATTATTAGATGCTCATTTGTTTTTTTTTTCTTTTGCTAAAAACAAAATTAGAAACGTATGCTAATTTCCAAAATTTTAGCTGAATGTACTGTGATGGGCATACCCAGTGTTACAACAAACCTTTCTGGTTTCGGATGCTTTATTGCCGAACACGTCGCCGATCCCATGTCTTATGGAATATATATAATTGACAGACGATTTAAAGGTCCTGAAGAATCTGTTCAACAGTTAGCTCAAGTTTGTATTAAATACTAAGTAGAGATAGTCAACTTACTATGATATACATTAATCTATCAATCATTTCTTTTCAGAATATGTTTGATTTTACTTGTTTATCCAGAAGGCAAAGAATAATTCAAAGGAACAGAACTGAACGTTTAAGTGATCTGTTGGATTGGAGAAATTTAGGAGTGGTTAGAACTTTTTAATTAAATTTTAGAAATTTTATAGTTTAATATGCTTCTAGAATTTAAGAAAATTCAAGCACTAGCATCTGCTTATTCTAATCAAGGATTTCATCACTCATTTAATATTACCAGAATTAGTACATTCCAGAATATATAAGTTATCCATGTATCCATAAAACTTACTGTAATCATAGCTTAGTCATCATTATCAGTTAAATAGATAATTTTAAGTCAAAACTAACTTTTCTTGCTTTCAGCCTCAACCTGTAGCTGATAGTACAATGCTTACATATTAAATATTAAGAATTTGCTCATAGTAGTAATATAAATTGCCAACATTTCTTAAATTATAAGCTACTTGTTGTTAAAGATGGTACTAAAAGAAAAATTAAGTAAACAACACTGACAGCAATTAGTAGTAGTAATTTGTAATTAATAAATCTTCAAGTTAAACATTTTCAAAAATCATTAACGTGTCCTTTTAATGTCATTCAATGGCCAGAAAGCTGAGGCATTAAAGCATCAACCCACTGCTTTGACAGACCAGAGATCAAATCTGGGCAAACAACTTCCCAAGAATTTTTCACAATCAGTCTATCTAGATATGTTGTGCTAGTCCCTCACCACCTGGCTGCTCGCAATGGTGGACCCAACCAAATTCCTAATGGTATAGAGGAAAAAATTCACAAGTTGAAAGAAAAAAATAATACCAAAACCAATAAATATTTTTAGTAGAAGAAGCTAATTGATTTCAGAATTAACTTTAACATTGAAATGAATCTTGTGAAATTCAGCTTACAGGATTTTGTAGAAACATAGCTCATTCTAACTGGAAGTATCTTTCCAATTAGAATGAATTACAAATGTTATCTGTTTCACATCAATCACATAAACAATGATTAATTGGTAAAACAAACAGCCAAGGCTCTGCAAAGGCATTAACTTGTGCAATTTGAAGAATCCAAGTTTGTATTCTTGTCATATCTTCAGAAATTGCAGGTGTTTTATACCTACAGAGATATTGGGTCCCTTCCATTCCTCTCACCACTTGACTTCCTCTATCCTTCATCTATTCCAAGGCTCCATGTTGATCTGAGCCAAATCCATAATTGGCATAAAAAGCCTTTTAATGCCCACAGATGAGCAGTGCCGTCTTTAGAATGTAAGGGGCCCTGGGCCAGGACCAAGATGGTGCCCCCTTAATGAAACAGAAACAATAGTATGTTACAGACCTAGGTATATATAAAATCATATATACTCCCGTGAAGTATATATGATTTTTCACCTCCCTCAGCCAGGAAGTGGAATTTTCTTTCCATGCAGCAGAAGTAAGTACCATTTTCAGCCAAGATGTGGTGAAATAAGAAGTATCAAAAATTTTGTAAGTATGTATAGGAGAAATAAAGTATTTGTTATTTTTAATAATTATTTTAAGTAACCTATTTTTTATTTGTAACTTTATTACTTTTGGATTAGGGACCCCCTACAGCCTGGGGACCCTGGGCCAGGGCCCCGTAGGTGCTGCCCTAAAGACGGCACTGCAGATGAGTTAAAAATCTTGAAGCTTTAAATCAAAAACAAAATTAAATTCAATTCATGAAAAGTTGATATTTTTAAGTTGCATTGTTTTTAATTTACTACTAAGTTTGATGATTATGAGAACCATATTTTTGGATAACTCTTTTCAAAATTTTCTGTCCTGTTGCTAAGAGTTATTTTTTAATCTAAAAGTTTGGCTAGACCAGCAATGGGACCAGCAAGCTAATGAGGAGAGAATTGGACTTGCAAGCGGGTAACACTAAACACAAACAGCTCCTTGTCAAGTAATAGGACCCACATCTGTAGCATTTCTTGAAAACAGGCCTCTGAAAATTAAGTGTTTAGCTTTAGTATTTAAAAATGTGACATTTCCTGTTTAGCAAAAACGAAGTACAAGTATCAATCGTACAACATAGCATTTCTACAACACAGTTTGAAAATTTGGGAAATGCTCCACACAAAATCTCGCAAATTTTAAAATCAACATCCTTTATTTGATATATATTTTATTATTCAAGTAAGCATGCATATTATCTCAAATTTGTCCATGGATTTTTGAATATTGAAATTTTCAATTTTTGTGCTTTTCGTCAGGTTTAATGAAAACTGATAGGAAGGTTAGTGCAATTTTTCCTTCCTTGTCCTAACAGCTGGGTTTTGTTGTTGCTGCTTTTAGACTTTGTTTTTGGTTTTATAGATTAATTTTTATTTAAACATTTGTAGGTTTCTAAATATAAAGTTAAGTATTGTTAGCATTTTTTTTTAATCTTAGGTAAGCAATCATTTGTAAAAATAATGAACGAAATACAGTGACATAGCAATACTCAATTTGTTATTCCAACACAAATTCTGGAAAAAATAGCTAGGTACTCAATTGAACAAATGCAACCTACTAGAACAAATTTTTGATTAATAATATATATGTATTTTTTTGTCATTCATAAAATTTTTATGATAAAAATAAAAAACTGATGACTATATTTCTGATTAAGATCAACAAAAAAGCTAAATGACTTCACTTTGTAAAAAGAAAATGCCCTCAACTAAAATTAATATTAATGCATAATACAGTACTTTTAATTGTGATTGTTAGTTAATTACTGATTGGAAATAAATTATCAATTGGTTTAATGAACATATTTTTCTTAGCTAAAGTAAAGTATACTATTGTTTTTCGTTATTAACTTTTGGAACTTAAATGTTCTGCATTAGTCCTTTGTTTCATATAGTATGAATTCACATAACACTGCACTTTTTTGGAAGATAACTACCATGTTATACGAGGGATACCTTATCTGTAGATTTAACTCTTATATGTGGTGAAATACATTTTTATTTCTTCATATTAATTTTCAGAAATGGTGGTATTGTTATATTTGAAGTGTTAGCAAACATGAGCACATAAGAAAATTGTCCATAACATTAACAATAAATAAAAACCCTGTCACTAATGCTGCTCTATTTTCACAACAGTCCTGTTTTTCAGTCCATTCACTTGTGGTGACATAGTATGTAATTAACATACTATGTCACCACAAACATAGAAAATACATATGAAAACAAGCAAAAACATATGAAAATAAATATGAAGAAATAAAATTTTTATATAATGTTCTAAAGTTAAATCTAAAGATTTAACTTTTTAGGACATTACAGACTTCATTTTTGCTAAACAAGAAATGTAACTTTTTTTTAATTTCTTGTTTTATAAACTTTAAACATGAGGAATAATAAAAACAATAATAATGCTAATGATAGTGAAATAATAATAATATTTTGTTACACACAAAAAAAAATCTAAAATTGCAAAAGCTCCACTACCTAATGTCTTATCCACTTGGCCATTGCTGTTACAAAAAATTAAACTTACAAAGCTAATAAGGTAAAAAATAAATTTTTAGAGGCCTGTTTTTCAAAAATGCTTGAAAAGTGGGTCCTATTATTTGGGAAAGGATCTGTTTGTGTTTAGGGCAAAATGCTCACCAAGTTTTATTTGAATTGGAGACCTGATCATCTGGCCTCTCCTTGTAAGTTGCAAAGGTTGGAATCTGATAGATTAAAGGTCATGTCATTTATAAAAAAAATTTGAGGTTTCAAATTTGAAATTATCCTGCTACCTGGGTGGCTCTGGTTCAATCTTTTTTTTTTTTTTTTCTCTCACAATTGCATTAATAGGATTTAATAAGATAACTATAGAAATGGCTTAAATGAAAAATTCATATGCAGAAAATTGATTTTTCATGTCTGGCTGTCTCATTAGCAATATAAAATGCATTGGAGAGAAAAAATTAGAGCATTAAGAAAGAATACAATTATAAATTATGTATTTTTAATAATTTTAAATGTAAATATAATAAATAATTACCTGTAATGAAACATTATAAAATGTGTATATTTTTGAAATTTTAGTATTATCGCAAAGCGAGACAAATGGCTCTTCATAAAACTCATCCAGAGATCCAGGAAATAATAATGGTAGTACATAAGTTATTTCAGATATTTTACATTAATTGTTCTAATCTTTGCTGATGATGATGATAATGATAATTTTTTTAAATTAGGAGAAGCAACTCCAAATGAGATATCCTCGACCAGTATCGGAGCCGCCTTCACCTCTCAGTTCTCGTGCCTCCACTCCGGCTCCCTCGGAACATGGAAGTGAAGACGAACAGTCAGACGAGGAACAGAGTCCTATTGAGGAAAATGAAACTGAAAATGAAAGATGATGAAGTTAAATGGTAGACAAGGTGGTAACAGATGTTGATAGATAATTAGTAGACTTCTTCCATCATGTTTCCATAATTTTTCTTAAATAATGTTGCCATTGGTCAAATTAGGTTTGAGAATAAGTTACTTAAATGCACAAATTGCAAATGTAGATTTTAAAAGTATATGTTTAAAAAAAATTTAGCGAACGAAGTTTTAAATCCAGGGAATTTGCGGCATATTTATATACAATGCAATCTGTACAGCTTAAGTTCAATGTGGTTAATTGTTTTCCTTTACATTGATATTTACAAATTAACAAACTTTTCCTTCTGTATACTTAGATATTTGCAATAATTGTGTCAAAAAGTTTTTATTGCTCAATTTACTGATTTTGAAATTGTGGCCATACTTAAAAATTTAGTTTTTGTACACCCACGTTACAAATCATGTACAAATCCCCATAATCAGTATTTTCGGAGATTACAAATCGTGTTCTTTAAAAAAAGTCTTAAAATATTTTAACATAATTTATTATTGCTAATAAGATTTCTTTTTTGGTTGTTTATAGAAAATGTTTAGAATATTATAATAAAAAAAATATTTTTTGATTCCAGTTATTCTAGAAATTGATGATTTTCGAGAAAAATTTATTTCAATAAACACTGTACAATTCCAGATTTACAGATAACAAAAATTCTCCATAACGTAGTAGTCTTTAATATATTAATCAATAAATTTGAGCAGATACAATTTAATAATCACAGTACTATAGGAATTTCATTTGAAAAATTATCAATAATTCATACTTTTTGGAATAAATTAAAACAATTAGCGTAGAAAGGAAAAATTACATTCCTAACAGATCATCAAGTTCACTCTTTGCATCGATAGCCACTGGCTTAGAAACATTAGACTGCAGTGGCGGAGAACTGATTGTCTGTTCCGTTCTGGTAAAATTTGGCAATTTTTGGAACATGTTACTTGTTGGCATCTGATTCATAGAAAGGAGTTGTTTTGGCTGAGGCAACAAATTGTCCAGCGAAGACATATTCAAGTTCTTTTGTGGTGTTGCGTAGTTGTAAATTCCTGTCTGAGGCACGGAGAGAGGCGGTACGGCAGTCATGGGATACGTGGGGCATGGAGAGAGGGCATTGACACAGGTCAGTTGGGGCATCCTGGGACTAAATACTGGTTGGGTTAGAACCGGCTGCATTGGATTAAACGTGCTGTTCAAGTTCATGTTTCCCGTCATTGTGAAATTACTTAAATTACTGGAGATCAGGGTCGATGTGAGATCTTTCGGTTTATGAGGGGACAGTGACACTGCAGGTTGAGATAATTTGAGGGGGGCTTGACTTTTCAGTCGCTGTTGTTGTTCCTGCTCCCAAGCAAGCCTTGTTTTCTCTTCCATACTCAATGATGGCTGTAAAGATACAAAATAATAAATTGCATAACAAATATTGAATCAGACAGATTTTATATAATGCATACATACTTTAGAGGAATACTGAGATGTAACCGAAGATACTACTGGTGAATTGTTGATCACAGTATTTTGTTCATTACAGTTGTTTACATTTAATCCAAGATTTTGGAACATATTCTCCATCTGAAAGTAATTTAATTTTTATTCAACTTGTAGGAGAAATTATAGTCTCAGTATTCAGAGCTTGACATTATGAATTTTGTGTTAAATTTTTATGGGAAGCATTGTATGATATGTCACCAGCTTAAGAAAAAAAAAAGCTTGGATAATGTCTAAGGATGTGATTCTAGTAAACACTAAATTTTTGTAATTTAAATTCATTCAAATTACATATAAATTCTTTTGCTATGCAAATTTATATCACATAACTTTGGTTTGATTATATACATTTTAATGGTGAATGGTCATTCACAGCTATTCAGAGTATTTTTAGTCCATTGTGAAAAAATTTTGTAGGTTGAGCTAGAGGTTACTACAACTAAATTAAGTTCTGCCATTTTGCAAAAATGAGCAAAGCTTGGTACCATATAAAATTTCTTCTGACTTTGCAAAACTGTCAGACTAATTAAATTATTCATTTGTATCTATTGATGATGATCTTACAAAAATTCAATTGATGATCATATAATTTTTTGTTTTAGATAAAGTGTGAAATTTAACTTTATTTCACAAAATGAAAACTTCATAAAATCTGTATTTTCTGTTTTAAACTGACATGCTCAATAATGGTACAAAAAAAAATTATTTTCCAATTTTAACTTCTCAGAATTCAATCATCATAGCAGAAAGGTGGACTTATCACAACTGAAATGATTCTGGTCATCTGTCAAGGATCTTTCAGCTCTGATTTTTGGCAAAATTGAGCCGAGACAGGTTTTGCAATATAAAAAGATACTTCCATATTGTTGACAACCAAAACTTTGGCAATTTTCAAATGACCTAAGTCCTTCCTCCTTTATGAAATTTTGAATACTGTTTCAATAATTTGGCATCATCCATCAATATTTGAGTATTTGAGGAAATGGTACCTTAGCATGGACACCATTCAGGTAAAATGTGTATTAGAAACAAAATTTGGATGTTAGGTGGAGTTAATGGATATCCATACAATAAGCAAATTTATTGTGGAAAAGGCAATGGTGAAAATATTCCATTAGGAAGTTGAGTAGTATGCAGTTTGTTGATTGTAATGCACATTCTAGAGTCACATGTTCTTTTCTTTGACAATTTTTTCACTAGCCACAAACTTTTGCTACAGCTTTCAGATAAGATTCCAAGCCTGTGGTACAATCCGAGAGAACTTTACTTCAAGAAACAAACTTTATTCCACTAAAGAAATGAAAAAAAAGCTGGATTCAGATAGAAAGATAATTTGCATGAAATCGAATGATAATTTCATAGTAACAATAGCTAGTAATTACTCTAGTTATCCTGGTACAAAAAAGTTACACAATGTAATCTAATAAAGATATGATCAAGGTATGGGAGGTGTAGACCTATTAAATGGAGTCTGTAGCTGGCCAACAAACAATCTGAGATTTAAAAAAAAAATGTGGTGGTAAAATCTTCATTAATGCAGCATTTAGGTTCTACCAACACCTTAATCCTGATAGAAAGAAATGTGTGAAATCTTTATCATAAAAATGCAATATCACTGTTGACTAGTTGGCTTCCTGCCTTCAAGATATTTGCTTTGATGGCATAAATCATATGCCCTGTAATCCAAGGAAGGTGCATACATAGTGTGTAGTAAAAACACTCATCTTCTACATTTTTGACGTTGAAACTGTCTACATTAATCAATTGAGCATTGTGAAAATTATTTGCTATAATCTATTATACAACAAATTTTAGTTCTTTAGGTTACTTTTTATATCATTCCTTAAGAAATTGTGTAATAAACCTTTTTCATAAAGCCTAATAAAAGTGTATGTTTTTAGTATATGGATAATGCCAACATTTCCATTTTGGGAACAAACTTTGAAGAATATGAATGAAATTAAAACACACACCGCATTTTTGTGGAAACTGTCATTTTATATGTTACTCTTTAGGACTTGTCCTATTGAATTTCTGGTTACTGAAATTAAAAGGTTATTAATACAAAAATAAATCACAATAGTTAATCTAATCAATAAATGGTATGGAAAATAATACTTTGAGAAGTTTAAATTTAAAAAAACTATTGGACAATTCACTGAGAGGGTGAATTGGAATTTGAAACATTTGTGCTGTATTGCCTTTATAAAAATTAGTTCCTCAAAACAGCAAACATTCCAAAGCATTACAGTGTGTGTCCAAAGATGATGTCCTATATCCTAGTTTATTGATCTTATTTTTGTAAAAGTACCAAATTCAGTTTTGATATCACTGGAGTTTTATGAAGAAAGGATAAAAATATACTAGTCTGATAGAAAATAAGGAATTTGTGATACTGCAGCAAAAGTTCAAAAGTACCAGTTGTGGCATTTTGAATATTGCTTCATTTATTATCAAACATTTAAGCAGCTCATTTCTGTTTCTTGAACAATAAGCAGATACACATTAGTAATTTATTGTCTTTACTACACCACAACAAATATATAAAATTCTCTACAATATCTGGGTATTTTAAAAGATATATGATATTATACCTTGATCTGTCTTGAAAGAAATTGAAATTTTATAATTATGAAAACCTCAGGTAACTAGTGTATTGAATAAAACTACCACCCAAGACATTCTTGTTTACTTGACCTCATCTTACTGTTTGTACAAGAGCTATCCAGAATTTCAGCAATCGTGGTAGAACTGTGTGTGTTACATAGTCCCCAATTTATTCCTCCTCCACATGCTGACAATGATGTTAAAGCTGCAGAATAGAAGTCTTTTGGCCAGTGTCAAATCCACTGCTTGATGAACTCATTTCAGCTTTCTGGACGAAGCTGCTTCCCAAGGCTTTCTTCAAAGGGACAAACGAGTAATATTCACACAATAATAGATCTTGACTGTAGGCCAGGTGATCCAGAATTTTTCAACAAAGTCCATTGATTGTGTCCATTATGTACAAAATCATGTGGTCTTGCGTCATCATGAAACAAAATAATGCTCTCTGTAACCTTTTGGTATCTTTTTCCTGCAAGATGTCTTTGACAGTAGTTTGGTGAAGACTACTGTATTACTTTGAGTTAACAGTTCAATTTTCCAAGAAGTGTAAACAAATAAAACTTCATTGGCTCAGAAACCAGTTGCAAAAACCTTTCCTGCTGACTTTTGAGTACAACCTTTTTAGTGATGGGGAATTCTTGTGCAACTACTCCATATTGAAATGCTTAGACTTAGCATGTATTATCACTTGTTTGGTTATTTAAAAGAAGCCTTGGAGGCAGGAGATTCACCCAGAATGCAGAGAAGTCAGAATTCATCATGCAATGACTTAGACAACAGCCAAAAGACATTCTGCAGGCGTAACATTATTGCCAAAATTATGGGAAAAGTGTCAGCATATGAGGACTACCACTTACAGAAAAAAAATGTAATAGAACTGTGTGTTATACAGTCCCATTTGTCATTATTGAACTGTCCATGTATATAAAATCAAAATTTCAAACAATATTCATTGCAAGTAAGTGTTAATGAATATTATATCCTATACAATCCCAGAAAGAGCAGCAATCAAAATAATATGATTTATTTATTATAATATGTCCATCCTTTATTTCTTTTTGAAAACATACTCTTTTGATTCCCATGTATTTTGGTAAAAAGATAATATCTTCAGTTATGGCTTTATTAAAACTTGAGGATTCCAAATATTCAATTGGGAAGAGTTCATGTTTTGATAGCTTTTGAAGTTTCTTTCAATTATATGGTTCAACTTTATTATACACACTATACATACACACATGAAAATAATACTTACAGCACCCTTTGCTTTTTCATCAGTTTCAACTTTACCAAATAAATCATTTTCACCTAAGGATTGATTTTTGGACATGTTTATTGTGCTGAAAGTGAAAAATAGTAAAATTAAATTAATATATCAAGATGTTATAAATATATCTAAATCAAAATTATCTAATATAATAATACTTCTGTTCTTGCCGAATAGAGTTTAGTTGTTCTAATTTCATCCTTTGTTCAGATTCAACACGGCCTACCATTTCTTTTACTACGGCCACAAGAGCATTGAACTAAAAAAAATTATTTTTTTCTAAATTGTTTAAAATCAAAATTAATTTTTTTTGTCAAATTTTACCTGATTTAGAGTCAGTCCATTTTCAATAGTCAAAGGCATCAGGAAAGGTATTACTTTAGATGCCATGATGTCTTTGGTTATTCCCAGTTTCTTATGAGTCATAGTCAATTTATATATTCCTTAAATAAGTTAAATACTTTTATTATTAAAATCTTAGTTTTTTCATTCTTATAAGCATTACTCAAACTTAAGACTTACCCAAAATTCCCATTAAAACAGCAGGTTCTTTAGAAGGTATTTGTGGCAGCATGGGTAATACTTCATCTAAAACCAACCATTTATCTAAATGTTCTAAAAGATTACCAATACATACAAGACAATTGACTCTAACCTAAAAATTATTATTAAAAAGTTTCAGTCAGATATTTAAAATATTAAATTCAGCTCCTTTTAAATGATACATACTGATAGATAGCTTGTGTGAAGACAGAGTTTCTTTATTCGAGGTAGCAATGAATTTTTCATTGCCGAATATTCTATTAGTGCAGCAATGCTGGGTATAATACTAAGACATAATTCCTATAAATACGAAATTTATATATCATAAACATTTATAATAAAAAAATACTAAATAATTTAAATCTACCTGAATCTGCTGTGCATCAGCTTCAAGAGAACAATAAATCATTGGCAATACATGATTACGTATGGCATCTGGAGGACATTGGTTCAATAACAGATTCATTTTTTGAAGAAATATCAGCATAATCTATTATAATATTTCAAATTTTAAGAAAAATTCATCACAATAACAATATGTAAGTCAATTTTAAAATGAAAAAATAATTCTGCATATTTAAAAATAATTGGTTTTAACTTTATTTCCATAGGTAATAAATAAGATCATTTATAAATTTTTCTGAGTTTTTAATTACAGCTGATGGTCAATTTAATAAAGGCACTACTAAAGGCCTGCCTTTCTGGAGTACTCAGGTTTGAGATTGTATTGGTTCAGATATGTTGGGTTCAGTCCTGCACCACCTGACCATTCCCATTTAATCATTGATTCAGCTATAAACTTGTGGTGATCATGATTAAAAGATCCTCTTTGTGCTTATAGGGCAGTGTCAAATAATTTTTAAAAACAATTAAATACAACTTGTATTAAGAAAAAATTTAAACTTTAGTAATTACCTGAACAGGTTCTTGTATTTGGAAAATTGGTATCAAGTCTGGCAAAATAAGAGAACAAAATTCTTCCTTGGTAGCTTGTTCGGCAATAAGTAAAACACTAGGTAAGACAAAAGGAACCATTTCTACATTGGCATATTCTTTCACTAAACACGGAAGAATTCTTTGTAAAGCCACACGCTAAAAAATAAATGTTGATTAATTTTTAAATTATTTAATAACTTTAGAGAATTTATTGAATGAAAACAAATACCTTTGTCATTTGTGTTAAAATCTGAGGAAGGCCTTTATAAAAATGAGATTTTTGTAAATTATCCCATTGATACAAAGAATCCAAATACTGTAATGTTTTAACTCCAACATCTTCAAAAAATTGTAGCTAAAAGAAAAATTCTCTGAATTTTTGTATAATTTCTTCAAAATATTTGATAGAAATAATAACATTAGTATTTTTGTTTTTTTTATTTGTGTTGCAAAATGTTAATTGTAATTTTACAATTTTTGACATCCAAAAATTATATATGTTTTACTTTATTAAATTATCAAGTTATTATCAAATAATTTGATTTTTATTTATTGGCTTTTATATTTTAAATCCAAAACTTTTTTACTAACATATGTTGTAATAAGTCAAATATAAATTTAATTTAAATTACTGAACTTATTTTAATTTGCTATAATTCTCAATTGAAAACTGATAGTAGATAAATGATTTAATGAATATGTCATAGATATCTATCTAAATTGTTGTTATATAAATATTTATTGAATTATTTTCTATATTTAACAAAAACATTTTCCACATAAGATTCTTCTTGTGTGAAATAATTATGCATTTTACAAAGAAATCATCATCAAAAAATCAAATCACATGCAAACAGAAACTGTGTGAGCTACTGTTTGTACATACGGACATCCCCACAGAATGTCTTGATTTTTAATACCCAAACTTCATAGCCTGTACTGATGTTTATGTAGTAAATATTCATGTTTATTGAATTTAAGGGATGTAAATATTTTTAACAAAATGATATGTGAAAAGTCTGGAGTTACATTTCAAATACTCTTTCCACGATGTCTACATATGATTTTGTTTTTGGAAATTGAGGAGATGAAGTGTTTATTGTTAAAAAAAAACTATATTACAGAAGTTTACTTAGAAAAAAAAAACCAAAAATTTGTAATTAATACTAACAAGTATTTTTTAATATTGCTGTTTATTATTGGCTGTGTTGTAAAAATGATATTAAGGTAATATTGTCATGAAGACTACACAATACTGTAAGGGGGTCAAGGGAGAGAAGAAATTTAAAAATGAAATAACAATATATGAGATATATCATTATCACCTCCATTGCCATCTGGACTGCTGAGTGGTAACAGTCAACGTCATGTGGAAGCGGTTGAGTCAGAGATCAATGCCTCATTTACAAACAACACAACTCGTTTATTAAACAATTTAACTTACTAAAAGTTCTACAGTCACAAAGGTTGAAGTCCTTGTATACTTTGGCACATAGTCTTCAAAGAAGAAAAGTCTGGCGACAAAGTAGGTTTCCATTTACTATCCAGATGTTGCATTCTAAGTTCAGTTGTTAAAAACAGGAAACAATGTCTGGTGAATGCAGATCAAAATGTCCAAAGTTTCTCTCAATGAAGGGCTATAACTTTTGGAGGATACATCAGCAAAGGATTAAGATGGATACTTGCAGGAAGCACCCCAACAAGGGACATGGTTCTTGGCCGTGGTGTCCCACGAGGCTGTGTCCTTGTGGCCTGGGCTTAAATATCTTTTCATCTTACAAATCATCACTGATCGTTTGTTTTACGTATTTTACTCCAGGTGGTGTTTGTTGACTTAAAAACCATTAATTAATGGTTTTTTCTTGATTTATTTTTTTTTCTGACAATTTTTTATTTCACTTTTTGTATATTCATGAAATAGGTTCTCTTATTATAGTGATATTGTTATAAATACTCAAGTTATGCCGTTCAGTTCTGACATTTTATTTTTTTTCTATTGGCAATTTTTTTCTTATAAATTTTTCTAATAAAATTTATTGAAAAATATTGTGTTTAAAACGAAAGATATTAATAAATGTACATAATTTTTTTATATGAATATAATGATATTTTAAAAATTCACCAAAAATCAAATTAATATCACCCGACTGACCTATTTTGCCTTAGGAGGGAACACAAGATAAACGTAAACAAGATGGCAGAAGCAAAAGGTTAATCCCCTTTCTTGGTCCCAGATTGGTCTTTCTCTGTTACCAGGTGAAATTGGACCAGATCGGTTCCCGAGAAAGATGATTGTTTATGAATACAATTCAGCATCATCATTCATTCAGTGCTGAATGAACCTTGTACCTTAACTAATATTTCTTTTTTGTTCGTCTAGTAAATTAAATTTTTTTATAAAACAAATTTTTCTTTTTTTTTCGCATGATTTTAATATTAAAATGATTTTATTTTTTCCCTTTTCCTTTATAATTTAGTTCCCTTAATTTTAATTAATTGCAAAGATCAAGATTTGTTTTTGTTTGGAGTTTTGATTAAAAGAATGTTTTTCATCTGAGCCCAGAGCCTCACAATACTACTTGTTAACGACTAATTTAATTGTTTAGTAATCAAAAGGAAATGTTTTAAGCAATTTACAGTCAAATATAAGTAATAACTTATCCAAAAGCATTAACATGCTAATTTACAAGTTAACTCAAAACTCTCAACTAATAATGTTGTAAAGCGTTATAATTCTTCCCATTTAAAATAATGGAGAATTAGCTCCAAATTAGCATTTTTGCACATAAAATTCAATCTGTTTCTGAAAATCTCATTAAGTGTAATGGAAATACAGCCATTTTCAGCTTGTCATTCATTAGATATATATTCTATGTGAACTTGATATTAATTGACCAACTTTAGTAATTCGTATATTATAAGTTCCATTTTTATGTATTCTTTATTTGCGCACTCATAGTTTTGTATTTGCAACCATTTTCCTACTTGTAAAGCTAAAAATCATTTGTCTCTAACAAAATAATGAAATAGTAGATAAGACATGGAATATAGTTTAAGATAATATCAACTAGTATAGTTTAATGCTCAATAAAAATATTATCTCATCATTTTTTGCATGATTTTAAAATTTGCACTTACCAGATAATGTTATATCATATATTAGAATGTTTTAATAAAGTGCAATAATAGTACCAAAGTATTCATAGGATTTGAAATATCCAAAGACTACAAGAAAAACTTTATAGAGATTCCTTTAAAGAATATATAAAATATCATTCAATTATTGGGTTTTCAGAGACATAGACAATCAAAATGAAAAAGGAAGACAAGAAGTATCTTGAATAAGAACACATTGTAATATTTAGCAAGGCACAAAGAATTAGAAAATTTGGTCGACCATCTGGTGGCCTATTATTGCTAACAGAAACAAGTTGGTGGGTTACTACATTATTATATAATGGAAAACTTTATTTTTGCTATAATAGATACCTGGCAGAGATTTAAGTCAAAATGGGGGATTTTCTGATTGTAATCATACTTATATATCTTCCCCTTTCAATTGACTAAAAGTTGTTTTCAAGAAATTCAAGAAATCATCACACAATGGTCTATTATTATTATTTTATGGATAATAGGTGGTGACAATAATGCTCGAACTAGAGAGAAGGTAGATTCAAAATATATGCTAATGATGTACTATTATAGGAAGAGAATAAGGAACCGGATAAGGGATAATTATAAATAATTATAATAATCTAATGTTGTTATTAGAATCTTATCATTTTAGGAGTTGTAAAAAGCATAAAACAAAAATTTAAAGAAAGATGGTATAATAATAAATGTTAATATTACAAAATGAAGAAACAGAAGAGTTTGCAACAGTTTAGGATAATGAACTCAGAACAATCACTGAAAAAATATTTAGAAGAGAATATACAAACTACATAAAAGCAAAAATATTTTTCTGAAGTGATTTGTTGTTAGGTTAAGACACAAAATCATTCTGGAACATCATAAATGGTTACCATAGACAATTTTTAAAAATTAGTAAATAATCACTGGTTTCATTTGACATAGTATCAATATTTTAAAAAATTTTTGGACAAACTATTTATGTAAAAGCAGAACTCTTTATTAGCAACATTCAATTAATTAATAAACCAAGTGAAGTGGTATTTAATATAGACAATTTATATATCAATATTAAAAAATTAAAGGAAAATACAGCCCCAGGCTATGATGCCATTTTTAATTTCATACCAAAAAATATTATAGAATATTTAGCTAGACAATTTAATGATCTATACAATTTGTGTAAGATCCCAAAAGATTGGAATAAGGTTATTACTTATATGTTATTTAAAAAAGGAGAGAGAAAGCATCCAAATAATTATCAACCAATAGCACTACTTTCTGGTTTTCACAAACTGTTAAACTTTGTCAATAGAACAGAAGTAAACAATTGGATTGAAAGGAATAATTTTAAAAATCACAAACAATTTGCATTTATTAAAAATGTGGGCACTCAGCTGGCCCTTTTTGTTTTGATAGCAATAATTCAATTACAACTTTGTAAAAAAAAGACACAAGATGTTTGCCTTATTTCTAGATATTGAAAAAGCTTATGATTCAGTGATAATCTCAAATCTACAAAAGAAAATGACTAAATATCAGGCAGAAGATAGCCTTACAAAAATAATAGGATTCTATATAGACATTATGAAGTGGTGATCAAGCAAGAAAATTTTCTATGGCCGACTTTCAATATTGATCGTGGACAAGGTGATCCCTGGTTACCACATCTGTTTAATTTCTACATATTTAATTTTAATGATTGTTTTAATAGAGAGGAAGATGGTTTTCTATTTGAAATGCAAGTAATACAGTCAATATCTTATGCAGATGACATAGTGATTATTGCCCCAATAGCTGCAGCTTTGTGTAGAAAGATACAAGCTTTGAATGAGTATTGTGAAGAATTAAAATTAAAAATCGACCCTAGTAAGTCATTTGTAATGATTTTTTGAAATTGAACTAGACTTTCTAAGAAACATATGTCCTTCTACCTTAACAAGGAAGAACTAAAAAAGTACGAGATCAAATTATTGGGTGTTGTTCTAATTCCTACATTGTCATTTGAGAAACAATATAAAAGGTCTATGACCAAATCCAATATACTGATTAATAACATGGTGAAAGTATTCAGTCAGATTAAATTGAGGGATATTATTGTTCAATTTAAGTTATTCAACTCTATTATTATGAATTCTGTGGGATATGCTTCACTGATCTGGAGTCTTAACTAATTATCAAAAGTTAGAGATAGTTTAAAATAAATTTATTCACAAAATATTTTCATTAGAATATAATACATCTGGAAGAGCTTGTAGCTTGTAGCTTAGAATTAAACAAATTTAAACTATGCCCATTTTTTATAAAAAGACTTAGAAAAAAAATTAATAATATAAGAGATTGTGAAGCTATTAAAGCCATTATACCAAAAAAATGCATACTGATGTTCATAGTAAAAATTGGGTAGGTCAAGTATCAAATATTTTCAACAGATAGTTTTTCTATATGTCCTTTTATGGGCAAAACCAAGATGAGCAATTTACTTAGCTCTCAATTAATACAAAATGCTTTTGAAATATCCTTGACTCAAGATATTAATGATCGTAATAGCCAAAAAAATCCGGAATGGTATAACAATCTTAGAATACCCATATATTAATGGATATATGTTCTCAAATTCATCTTTTAAATATAAAAAAGTTCTTCATTCAACTAAGACTAAATAAGGAGATAAATGGAATTATTAATTATCATTATGAATTATCTAACTGTTGTTGTTATAGATAACTCCAAAATTCACATATTTTGTCTATGTAAAGAGGCTCAAGAGCTACAAGATAAATACAATCTCCATGCACTAGATAAAGTCACCAATGAAAAAACTATGTATCTCTTTTTTCATACTGAAAAACTACAACTATATATAATTTATACAATTACTTTCAAAAATCTATTGTGTCAGTATAATAATATATGTAAATTTAAATTAATTGTATCAATAATAGCAAAAATGTATATCTTAATAAGTACAAAGACAACAAATTACTAATTTGGATTAATGTTAATGATGTTATGTATGAACTAATTTGTTTTGGAAATAATGAGATAGATAATATAATGGTAAAATCAAACGTTTGTACTGAGTTATACACCCACCATAAAACAGCATTGTTTTATGAACAGATTTTATTTAGTTTTTCTCTTACCCTTACGCATTAACATTGAAATCTAAATAAAACTTTAGCAACAAAATATCAAAAAAACCAAAGAAAATTATATCCATCACTTTAATATTTTTGAAATGATCTAGTAAATTAATTTTAGGGTAAAAGTATGAACAACCATAACTGATACATTTCCTCTTTGCAATCTAGCATTTTAATTTTGTTTTAAAATTAATCTACCATAACAAATATTAAGAAAAAAAAAAGACAAAGATAAGAAGTTTTGCTGTTGCATTTCTATCATCAAATCAGTACTTTTTCAATATATTTCTCTTTTTTGTATTCATGGCAATTTTGCAGAATGTAACTCCTGACAAATACAGAGCTTTTACTGTATTCTAATAATTGTTTGTTTAATAAGATTATTATTATTAACAAAGTAAATGTCAAATTATCACTTAATAATATGATAATAGTTAATGATATATTAATTATTATGAATAAAATAACTTCAATTACTTTAGAGAATTGGAATGCATCAGGTCTAACTTCGGGTGTTGTGCTCAGCAACATTTTTACATGTTCTCTAACATCAGCAGGTACAAAATCCAGCTTCAAAGAGGATTGCTGCTGTAACTGATTTAAAAAAATTTTCAAAAGTTGTTACAGAAACATAAATGATATAAGTTAACAAACATCAACTTTACCTGATGAAAATTTTTTTTTACAGTAGTTAAACTACCATAATTGTTAATGATAGGATTGCCTTTATTAAAAATTGCACACATTAGAGCTCCCAATGAAAACATATCACTTGCTGTATCGCATGACATTGTTAATACATATTCTGGTGCAATATAATTGAAATGTGGTTGTGTTATTGGGGGTCTATCAAAATCAACCTCCCTAAATGAAAATGCAGGCTGTATTAAAATAAAAAAACACATTAGTCATTTAATATTTACTTGATAAAGATGAAAAAAATTAATTTCATAAATACATTTTATATATATATATAGAGCACAATTTTGAAATTTAAAATGTCTCATGAAACAATATCACTGGTCTTCAAACTTTTAACATACAAAGCCTCAAATATCTCATTATTATTTTTGTAGAATGCCAAGCAATAAAGTTTAAAGTAAGAAATAAAAAAAATATATATATGCAAGAAAGACTTCAATACTTTTTTAAGCAATGAAGCTGTTTATCAGGGTATCCAACAGTTTCCAATTTTCCTGAGATTTTCAGGTTTTCCAGGTCTGTTGGATAGTTAGATAAAATAGTTTAGAAATTTTTATTTTTCAATTTTTTTAGTGAAAACAAAGAAAATAAAAATTTCTTATATTTTTGCATAACCCTAGGGTTCCAAAGACTAATTTGAATATTACTATTCTATAATTTATCAACTTTAAGAGATCTCTCAACTTTTATAAAACTGACAAAGCAATATGTCTTGCAATATGAATACTAAGAATTGAAAGTATTCTAAAGAATAACTTAATTGTTCAGCAACAATAGCAGGTGTATGAAAGTTTAAAGTACTCTAATTTTTCAGTTTCTCACAACTTTCTTAATCCAGTGAAAAATAATACCTGTCTTTTCCTTTCAAACTTTATTTCCATTTCTTTACTTGTAGATAATCCTATTCTACAAATTTCAACTATAAATAGTATATTTTATGGAAACAAATAATTTTAAGTATCATTTTCATTTATCATTAATACTAAACATTTTCATTTTGATTCATTAAAAGATTGTTAGCACAAAATAAGATATGTAATTTATATTCATCAAGAGTCATGGCAATGACTCCCCACCAATTAAAAAAGTTGACTGATGATATATACAGGAATCAAGTTGCCAATTTTCAAGATCAATTTCTCCATCCCAAATGTCTAAACTAATTTCAAATATCTTGTTCAAAAGGCAATTGTTTTCTTAGGTAGTGTGCAAAATTTCAAGATTTTCTGTAAAGTGTTTGCCAAAATATAAACAATTGAAAGTGCAAAAATCACCAAAAAGCTGTATTTTCTTCTTTTTCTTCATCTGGCTCTGCAGATGCTCATAGAGAAAAAAACTACTGGATCTAGAACATTTGAATTTTAAATTTTAAAATTAAACCTTTTTCATTATCAGTGAGGTGTTTGTGAAACTTCTGGATAGATAGGTCAAAGTTCATGAGTGTTTCCCCCATAGAGCTATTCCAATTTTTTGGCTTCATTTTATGCTTATAAGAATAACCAAAGCTCAAATTTATGTGGATTAAAACTTTTTATAATGATTTTTCTAAATGGCATATTGAAAGCGTTGGTCAGCAGTGTGTTCAATTGATGTCATATTTGGTCGATGCCAACTGAAATAGATATTGAAAGTGTTTGGTTGGCAATGCATTCTGTCAGTGCTCAATGACATCCAACCAAATTGTACATCATGGTCTTATGTCTTGATGTAATAACACAATTATTAAACTAAAAACAATTGATATCAAAACAAAAACATCCAAAATCATCCATGTAAAAAAATTGCACCAAGTAAAAACTTATGACAATTTAGATAAATGTCACAATTTTTCTTAGGAGTTTTTCTTTGGTAAAGATAAGCTTTGTGCTTGAAGTAGTACCCACAAGATTTTTACCTGTATTATTCTTTTCTACATTTTGCTTCAAAGTGCCAAACTTATCTTTACCAAAGAAAAACTGCCAAGAAAAATTTTGACTATCATCCAAATTGTCATAAGCTTTTACTTGGCACAATTTTTTACATCTCAGATGTTTTTGTTTGGATATAATATTTCACATAAAATTTTAGTTCTTCAATTGTAAAAACTTTATATCCAATGAAAAACACATTCAATATGAAACTTTATGCCAAAGTACATATTTTTGGATTTTGAATTTATTTGGTGCAGTATTGTTTCAACTTAAAATTACTTTACTATTATAAAGCACAACAGAAAATATTTGCTTTAATAGAAGTACAACAAATTCCAGTACTTTCAGAAGCACTCAAAGGATTACAATAATGCACTATATACAAATGCTGCATCATTATACAATAATATTGTTCTATAATCTTTTAAGCTACTTACATCTGTAATCTTGTTTACAGATGTAAGTTTGAAAGGGCCAGAACTTTTATTTTGATGGAATGTAAAACAAAACATTTTTTTTTTTTAAATTTATGGAATCTTTTATATATGTACAGTAATATATAATAAATACAAATAAAACCCAATAATTACTTCACATATCAAATGAACAGCTGGATTACTTTATCTGACTATTAAGGCTAAATAATTTCTAAGCAGGCAGTCAGGCTGCCATCTCTTGTTAAATATAATAACTATAAATTAATTTTTTGAATATTCTGGAAGTGACTGACCTGGAGCAGTAGTCAAACCTGACACTCCTGCTTACCAGTTTATACGTAATTTTGCAAATATTCTAAATTCTGTTTGAATGGTTATAAAATTATAATACAACAAATATTTATTCAAAAATCATTAAAATTCTTCACAAATTTCTTATATATAAATGCAGGGTAAATATTTTTCATATTTACTGATTAATGTATTTGAGCATTTATTTATTTAATAATATGTCTGTTAAATAAATTAAAAAATGAATTTTGGTAAAAATATTCAATCTTTAAAATAATAATATATTTTGATGGAAAATAAATTTAAAGAATAAGAAAGAAAATTTACTTTTTCAAAACGTATTATAAAATACATTAAAAGTTTTGACATTTATTTTTACATTGAGAAGTTATAAGAGGACAGAACCAAGTTAAAAAAAGAGAAAATCCTATAGAAAGAATAGTTAAGATACTACTATAAGATATTAATTTATTAATTCAGGATCAATACTATTTATAAATTGAATATCTTATCAATATTGCACTAAATTTAATTTATAAATATATCAATTTTTCTATTTGTTAAAGAAATTCTAAAACTTATAAACTAATAATTACCTGAGAATCTTGAGGATTACTAGCTGGTATACAAAAATCAAAACCAAATATTTTCCAAGCTCCATTTTTATTAATAATAATTGATTCTGGACATATATTATGATGCAACAATTTTACATCATTATGTAAAAATGCTAATCCTTCGGTCACCTGTAATTTAACAGAACACATAACATTGAAATTTTTTAAGTAATTATCAAAATATTCAAAATTATCAAAATAAATAAATAAAATTACTTTAATCTTAAATGAACTAAATTAAAACTTAATTGATAAATTATAGAATTTTCTGAGTTCTTGCTCAAATTAAAGAACCATTAATAATTATGAAAGATAAAAAAAAACTATTGCATATTAAAAGATGCACTGTCCAAAACAGTACAAGGACACTGCAATATTAAATTTATTTTATAAAAAAATCAGTACTGTTTTTACTTTAATGTTTTAGGATTTACATGTGATGATGTTACAAGAAACTTTTACATTGTCTTTTTTTGTACCAGATATGCTAAAATTTTATTAGTATCATGTTCCTTTAGAATAACTTTTACATGAATCTGAACTATAAAGTATTTTTCTTTTTAGGGAACTCTTTCCACTAGGTAAACTTTAAAAGAGCCTTTTCCCACATCCATCATGAGTTCAAAGCTGGCTTCACAATGGGGCAGCTAGTTGGTGAGAGGGCCAGTAGTATGATTCAGCTGATTTATACCAATTTGGCATTCCACTTCTTAAAATATTTTTAGTTCAACAATTCAGTTGTTAAAATTGAATTTATTACAGTGGGTGATCAGTTAACGAACAGACTGGTTAATGAACAAATCTGATAACAAACATTTTCGTGAAAGATTTTTATGATTGGACAACGAACACTTCACTGAACAAACATAAAAAGAAGTGACGGAAATAGCAAATACCGATTGATTTTCCTTTATCTTCAGGTAACTTTTTGGAGTGTGGGAGACGTCAACCTGGTATATACTGATCAGATAGTATTCCTCGAACTTTGAAATACTCCCTTGTAATTCCAGCCTTTTATTTCTCTGGCAAACAACTCTTTTATAGTACAGGCATACCTCGACTTACGTCGGTTTCGAGTTACGTCGTTCCCGATTATACGTCGCTTGTTAAAAAAGTATATGGAAAAATAAAAATCAAGTTTAAGTCATTTTATTCGACTTTACGTCTGTCCGCCACAAATATTGAAGTCGTCGTAATATCACTAGATAAACGTTTAAAGCACATAAAATCATATTAAAATATATACAAGTATGTACTGTATTTACAGTACACGCATTCGTAAATTTAGATTACTTTTTTTGTACTATATTAAAAACTAAAATTTATTTGTTTGTAAGCTTAAAATAGATTTTTATTAACCATATATTATTTAAAATGCTTTCCTAGTGATAAGTAGATTCGGAGACAGGTAAATTCGACTTACGTCGTTTTCCTGGAACCAATTAACGACGTAAGGCGAGGTATACCTGTATTCATAAGACTGTTGGGTGGACACTTAAGTTTTGCATCTGTTTTTATTTTTGAAAGGTGAGAGTATAATAGCAAAGGTAGAGTGTGAGCAGATGTCTGATGTTGCTGAGCAGTATGGCTTGAACAAATCTACAGTGGGGCACAGTTCAATCTTATCTAAGAAGGATACAGTATAATCAAGATGACTCAAGCACCTAAAGGAGTAACAAAAATCACATCTGAGAAATAAAGAATATTGAAGAGCTCATAATGGAACCTGAAACAGATCTGGCGACAGAAAAACATCAAGAACTCTTGAATGAAGAACACCAAGAAACTCAGCAAAATATGTTTTACTTTGAAAAAGAGGATTAATGCTGATATCTGCTATTAATTAAAGATCTTTTGAAGAAGTGAGAGAAGTCAGATCAATGGTCTTAGAATGGCATACAAACCAGGTTGAGATTAATAGGCTTGGGGATCTCTACAATTACAATGCTATTAATTCTGAAAATCCTGAAGAAGAGAGAACAGCAATCAACATTAGACAGATTATTTAACCCCCACAAACAAAAACCATGACTAATAAAAATGCAAGTCTGTGTATGTATGTATTTTTATTATTACATATAAATAAGCGTAGTAAGAAAGTATATATTTTTTATTTTTGGAGGTCTCCAGAACAAATTAATCAAATTCCTATACAAACCTATGGTGAATTGATAATCGGTTAATGAACAATTCGGATAGCGAACAAAGTCTTGGAACAGATTATGTTCATTAATCGATCACCCACTGTATTTGTGAATTGTAAACTATGACAATTTATTACAAAAGTTTGCATTTGTGTAATACTGCCAATTTTCTAACAGCTCAATATGGACTGGAGCAGAGGGGAAAAAGACTATTCAACAGAGCAATAAGTGTGATGATAACTCATCACTGCTGTAACTGATCTGTGACTACCTATCACAATCAAGCATCTAAAATTTCTGCTCAACTCATGGTACAAGTGATAAGCTTTATGCATAAACATCTGTATTCGTGGACCTGGGAAATGCAGGACAATAAGTATATTTCTTGGATGATTTTACTTATCAATATTAAGACACTGATTTCTGATTTTAAGAATGAGATAAGGATTATTCACACAACCAATGATCCTTGGATAAAAGCAAAGCAAATCACAAAAGACAACTTAAAACAAGAGGCAATATCTTAAATTATAGTTTTATTGTTGCTTTTTGTCAGTGGGTATTCAAAGTCTTTTATGCAATATTTTTATAACGTTTTTTTTACATTAGGAAATATTTTTAACAAATTGTCAGATAACATTAATTTATTCTCATTTGGGTACTTGCACCCATTGTGTCCACCAGCTAATGGACACAATGTCTAGCCAATTTTCAATATTTGTTTTAATTCATAAAAAATATCCATAATAATATTCCCTGTACATAAATAAATAATTTGTGCAGGGTATAATGGTTATATGCAGAAAACTGGTTATGTAATTTGAATTCCATCATTGGATATGGTTTGATATATTCAGATCAATCCACCCACAAAAATTCAATAATCTGTTCATTGTAAGTTTAATAGTTTTTTTGCCATTTATCTGACTGCTACTTTTAAATAAAATGAAAGATCACTTCAGTTGTAAGAATATATTAATATTGTATCTTTTTCATATCTATTTTGACCAATTTCTTCTGCTACCTGATCACACAAAGAACAGTTAAATTAGGTAGCCATTTTACAGACAGATGGTCTTCCTGGTCTAACACTTTCTTTTATCTTGAGACTGATAAGTGTTAGCAATTTAGACAAGGTTAATCCAGCACCCAGTATTTTCTGCTGTCTCTGACCAAAATACTAGTCAAGCCTACTTAACTTTGGTAATTTGCCAGCAACTAGTGTGAGAGCCTGGACTTGATAAAAAAATTTTAGTTAAAAATTATTTGAAAGAGAAAAATCAGAGAGGATGATTAAAACTTTTCCCACAAATTCCCACAAACTCGTTTCATTGTTTGAGGTGACACATTCGTGACACATCGAATGTGTCACCCAGAACCGATGATTGAAATTCAACAATTGGACTGTTGTATAATTCCTAATGAATTCCTAAGTCATGGGAAAAACCCACAAGAGACCCCCAAATACAAAAAGGAGGGAGTTTGCCATCATCGTTAGTTTGTTTTTAACTGGTGTTCACACCCAATTCAGTTTTGGACACTGCTCAAGCCATCACCGAACCTCTACCCTTCTCAATACATCCAAAGACTTTCATCCTTCTCTTGAACCTTCTTTCAAACCACCTGACGGACCAGCAGCACATCGATCCACTAATTCTACGATTCCCCAAGGAACCAACTTCTACTAAGGTATTTACCAACGCACGACCAATTTGTAAACTCTCTCTCTCTCTCGGTTAGTGACTATAATTGATATCCAAAATTAGCGCCTTGCTAAGCATCTTAACTATGTACCGAGTTGTAAATAGTATTGATAAATAAACAGATATTGTGAATTGTTAAATTCACAGTATTATACACTTCTTCCAGGGCCATCTCCATCCCGAATCCGAGCATCTACAACATGACCGCTCGTACACAAAAAAAATTAGCAACCATCAAAATTTCTGTCTCTGTCCTTAAAGACACAGTGGTGTCAGTCTTGATGAACTAGTCATCGCAAACGTGGTGTCAACCCTTTGGTCCATGATGCCAAACATGGGGGCGCTCCAGCATTGTCACACTAGCATGTTTGGTGAAGGCTACTCATTGCACTTTGCAATATCTTTTAGCACATATTGACAAAATGAATTGTTTATATAATATATAAAAATTTATAATTACCTGCAACAACCCATATTTAATTTCAATGTCATATAACTGAAATTCCTTAAGTTCCTTTGGAGGTGGAACACACAGATTTTCATGATTTCCCAATATATTTGCTAAACTAGCAAAGACTGGTTCTGTTGCAAATGCTAAACTCTCTCTAAACAAATAATAAATACATTAATAAATATTTTTAATAGATTTGAAATAAATAAGTAAAAGTCAAAATTACATATTGAATATAATTACAATTGAATAATTTTAAATAATGATAGAAAATTTGTTTTTATTCTTATTAACATTAAGCTCTATACACAAATTTTACTGTTTTCAATTAATACTCTAATCATTTTTGGTTATGCATTTGATTGAGATAGTTATCTATAACAATTTAAATTTTATTTAAAAACTGGCAAAAATTAGCCCAATATAAATATATGATTGGATACAATAATGTAGTATATTAATAATATTAATATAATATATTAGAGATATGTAAATTAATTTTGAGAGGCTTTTTTTTAGCTAAAAAATGTGTTTATTACAAAAAAAAATGAAACAACTTTATATTTTATGAAATATGTAAATATTTTCTTAAAATAATTCAAATAGTCATATTAAATAAACTGCTTTTTTTAAGCAGTTTATTTAATATGACTATTTGAATTATTTTAAGAAAATATTTACATATTTTTTACAATTATTACCTCAACTAACTTCTATCTTACTCTATTAACACTTCTTTGGACAGACTCTTTCCAAACAAGAATTTATCCAGTAGGAACTTATCTATGGAAAGAATCTAGCCAAAAAAATTTTTAACACAGATTTTTGTAAAAGCAATTCTTGAAATTGTTTTCTTTAACCCTGTATAAAAATTGTATTATTATAATTAGATTTATCAATAAAATTTTGAAACAATTGATTACATATCACAATTTTTTTGGATATGAAAATTCTAAACGTAATAACAACACATGCAATAATACTGCATACACAATGAATAAATATATCGTTAGCAGACAAAAATATATCATCAACAGACAAAACCAAAATTAAGGTATTATTTCTACAAAATACCATACACATTAATTGATTGTTATGATATAGAAACATCACCAAATGATTGCCTAAATAATTGGGCTACAACTGACCTAATAATCGGGCTATAACTCCCCTAAGTTATAGCCCAATTATAACCTTTAATCATTTGGTGATATTTCAATATATATACATATCAGACTTCACAATGATTGTTATGATATTTCGGCATAAAAGATACAAATGTTACAGTGCACAGAGTCAAAAGATACAAGAAAGGTTGTATACAACAAATACACAAATAAATGTAGATTATAAACATATTAAGTAATAAATCAATAGTATATTTGAAAATATAATAAAGTCAAACTGGTCATTATAATTAATTTGATGAAATAAACAATACTTTTTCAACAATAGTTAAGATGGGAAAACACTAATGTTTTCAACTCATTTAATGGGCCATCTTCAGTCATAAGTGGAATCATTTCTCTTAGGTATGATCACACCTGAGATGGCCTATTAATGAGGTCATTAATGTTTCTTCAGTCTTGTCCCTGTTAAAAGTGTATTGTTTACTTCATTAGTTAAAAATATGAATTATAGTAATAATGGATATATATCACACAAATAATAAAATTAGATAACAGGATTAAACAATTTTCAATATACAGATAATCCTCATTAGTTTGAAATTCAAGGAACAAAATAACTGCAACTTCAAATCATCCAAATTTTACATATTTCTGTACAATATGCCAAATGCTATGTAACAGATGTAATTTATAAAACAAACAAAATATGGCTACATATACGGAATGCTACTTTCATAATTAATAATTTTTAATATTATAAATAAACTGCAGGTAAACAGCATGTGTCCAGTGAGAACCTCACAGATTTCCAGATAGGGTTTATAAAAAGCAAAGCAAAATACCTGAAATGTAGCTCAAATTATTTTTAAAGTAGCCCAATTCTAATAGTGTGCAGCTCCAAATCTCATAAAAACATCTCAATCTGCTGCTTATAGCACAACTTTGCAACCCCAAAACTCAGCCACATTTTATGAAATAAGAGAAAAAAGGTAGTCAGTCAATGGGTGAGGTGACACCCAAAAATATGTTACTGTAAAAGCAAAGCCATGTTGACCAGATTAGAGTTCTTCTTAGTCTATAGTTCTCTTATAGCATAGAGGCACGCAAACTTTGATCTAAAAGTACAAGTTAAAATACGCATATCACAGTTTGAACAGAATTTTCACTTTAAATTTCAAAATAGCCATATTTTGAACTAACAGAATTCCTTAACATATAAATCTCTATATCCCCATCTGGGACAAACAGTACACTTGCAAACTAATGGAATTTCAAACTATGAAAGTTTGGACTAATGAGTATTTCTTGTTTATATATATATTTCAAAAAGCCAAGAATAGAAACTAAGTTTGGTCTCTCCAGCTAATTACCTTAAAAAATTGCAAAATATTAATTTACTTTACCTCCATCCTCATGCTTTTAACATAAGCAAATAAAATAATTAAATGTATAATAAATTACATCAATTCATTGCATGTTTGCTAAATACAGATATTCAATATTTAATATTATTTTATTTGATCAATTTACACTTTTTTAATATAAAATTTCACTACATTAACAAATATTAATATGCTTTATAGCCTATAAAAATAAATTATGTATAATATGCTTATATCAACTATTTAATTTAAAAATGTAATTTTTATTTAAGATGTAAATCTTCAAACATAAGTAAATATTAAGTTGTTTCTATTAAAATTTTACAAAAATTAGAAATCCTGACATTTACACAGCAGCAACATCAATCACACTGTGATGTAGGTGCATGTCTACTTATGTCATACTATGACTGATAGTTCTGCTGTTTTTAATGTCAAAGATAATAATATTGACTTCTGACAAATATCCTGGCAGAAAAATAGGTTAAGTATATTCCTACTTTAGAGAATCAAACTGAATTAAATTTAAAAAATTAATCAGTTATTTTATATCACTCCACTTTCTTATTCAAGTAATAGAACTTCTGGCTAAATCCTTATAGAATTATTAAAATTTTAAATGAAAAATAAATGTATTATTTCATATTCAGCGAACCTAGATTCCTCCAAAGGATGCTGTACTGTAAGAATACTTGGATGACGTAACCTTGTTAGCTGTGAAACTCCTTTTTTAAGAATATCTAAGATATGATCACGGTCTTGTTTAGAATATCTCTCTAACTGCTTTTTTTCTAACACAAATACTGCAGCTTCCTGTAAAAAAGAATATGAAATTAGTTAAACAATTTTAAAAACATTATAAAAGTAGATTTTAATAATGTTTAAAAACTAATATAAACTTTTGATGAATTAAACAAATAATTATTTCTTTAATACATCAGAAGCTATTAAACTTTTTTTTTATCAAACTTCTGATTTTACAGAAGCAAACTAATATCAAGGATAGTTTTGTAAACAAATATAGAATTTCTATTGTATCACTTACCTAAAAACAAATTTAAAATTCTGTAAATCATGATAAAGCTACAGCTAGTGTGCTCTTTTTCTAAAAAATGACTGCTTATATGCATCTAAGGTGAGTAAACTTATACAACTGCTTTTACTGAGCAACTGCCAGTACATAGCCCTGGCTACCAACACTTTTTAATGCTATCCGCCAGTATACAATACTGGCAAGTTCCTGTGAAAAATAGCTCTGGCTAAAGCTATTTCCATAAGTCAAAAAGCTATTAATAAACATTGTACAATTGTAGTTTCTTCTTCTTCATAATTAATTGTTATATATATTTAAATTATAATATTAAAGTTTGTTAATATAATTTATTTAATTTAAAATATATGCTCTCCACCTCAAATAACAGTAAACTCCCAATTATCCGTGTGCGGATTATCTGGTTTGCGGATTATCCATACATGAATTTAATTTTTAGAAAATAATTATATGTGTATGTATTTTTTAAATAGTTGCTCGCTTTCATGTTTACACATCCTATAAGTGTGCACATGTTCATATTTAGATGTTTGAAGCGGGTGGTGGGGGTATCTGAAGTCAGCTGGACTGGTTTTAGTTAGGCCGCTTCTTTTTGGAGGAGAAAACGGTAGTGAGTACATTTATACAAAGTTTCATTTAGTTGCATGTTATAATACGTATTACAATTTAAGATTTGATTATATGTACTGTATGTATGTATAATATATATTATACATAATATTTTTTTCAAATAACTCTCCTACAAATACTTTTAGTATAAAATTACATAAAATAAGATGTTTTTTTAATTTTCAGATAAGTACCCTTAAAATGCCTAATAATCGAAAGAAAGTCATACTTACTATAAAACAAAAATTGAAAAATTTAAAAAAGGTGAATCTACATCGAATCTACATGTTTCATTTCAGAAATAAATAATTATAGTTTGGATTATCCATGTTTCTGGATTATCCATGCCACCTCTCCCCAACCATTAGCCTGGATAATTGGGAGTTTACTGTAGTACTGTAGTGGCTTTCCCCTGTTCATCATACTTTTCCATTAGCAATGGAGTCATACTGGTCATCTATCTAACTCCTTTCAAAGAAAAATTTTGAATTGAAATCAAGTAACTTCTGGCTCAAACCAGAAGTTTAATCGGGACCTCCTGCTCCTAAGCTTTCCACATCTGGTCTTGAATTTCATTTATCTAGCACCATTCTCAAGATTAAGGAAAGACAGACAGACAATAGTGGGAATTTATAGGTCTACAATTTGTTCAAATTGCAGCCTATAAAAGATTTTAGAAGAGGCCTTCATCCAGAAAAAAATAGAAATAATTTCATATTTAAAATTAATAACTACTTTAAAAAACAAAAAATTTCAAAAGTTTTCAAATTATTATTAATTAGAATCCTTCACCAATGTATGTTTGCAGCAAATATTAAGTTTCAACTGGTCTTAAATAAACTCTGATTAGGAAAAGTTATACACCAAATTCTCTTCACATTTTCTATTTGTGTATTCTTAATTTGATATGCACAGTTTCTAAAATTTACATAATATAATTTTAAATTTTTATGATTTAAACTTTATCTCATGTTATTATATTACTATATTCAATCAATTTATGCAGAATATAAACTTGAATTCAAAAAAAAAAAAACACCATTGAGTTTGTTTTTCTATTTTATTTTATTTTATTTTTTTACTCTTACACTGAATCATTTAATAAAGACAAAATTATTATTAGAAAAAAATTGAAAAAACAACATCTTTTTCTTTTGAATAATATTTTCTTGTTAAATAAATTTTACTTTTTAAACATGTTAAAAAATCTGCAATAAATCTATAGTAAAAATATATTTGATTAAAAACTGATCAATTTATAGTAAATAGGAAATTTAAAATGCTATATAATTTTGAATAAATATTTTGCAATATTGTTTTATTGTTTATTTTTCCCTACAGAGCACAACTACTTCTCTTTGCCTCAGGTCGTGCAAAAATTCTAGTTGGCACTGCAAATATATTTACTATACAGAAACATCATCCTTAACAACATACAACTATAACAATTATTGCAATTCTCCAAATTCATATTTAGAAAATTATATTTTCATATTTTAATTTTCACTTATTAAATTGAAAACTAATAAATATAATGATATGGTATGACAAATATATGAAAAACAAAACAAAACTTAAACAATAAAAAATTAATTCTAAAAATATTTTAAATAAATTTTGTTATCTTCCTTATCTTTTAAAGGCTTTATTATTCCTTAAAAATAGTTATAATAAAAAGTATAAAAGAAGTTGTGTTTACACCATATAAAATACTTTTGCATCATCAAACCATGATAAATATTTTGTAATGCTTTTCCTTGAAATAAGTTTAAAAAAAAGAAAATTAATTAATATGTAATCACTTTATGAATATTTAGTAATCGATATAAAAGTAACAACAGCTAATTCGGTAATAGATATAAAAGTAATAAAAAATATTTTTTATTAAATAGGTCAAATGCATTCCATTAATATGAGTATGCATTTTACGGAAAAAATACAGAATGTCTCATTTCTGTTTTAATCAAAATAAAGAATTTTAACTTTATTTCTTTTGATATAACATGTATGATAAGTCCAGTTATAAATAGCAAATTAAACAGTTATAATAGTAACATATTTTTGTACTATGGTATTTAGATGATAATGCAGCTAAAAATATTTGTGAAGATAAATTTAAAATATAAAAATGTTAATAATTACTAAATAATAAATAAAGATTTCTTTTAATTTATAACTTTAATAATTAAATTGACATATTTACAAATGATAAGCTAACAATTTAACTAGATATAAATAAATCACATCCCAATGCTAATAGGCAAATGTACTTGGCTAAGTATATTTGGCTGGATTATTTCAGGTTAAAATTAAACTAATTATTCCATAAGTTAATTAATTATAGCCAAAAAAATAATTTGGCTAATTTTAAATATTTTTAAACTTTATCTTTTAGACTGACAAATATTGGGTTGTTCGGAAAGTAAGTTCGTTTTTTTTACCATTAGACGGATTAGTGGTATTTTTCCCGCCATTTTCATTCTAAACCATATTATCATTATATATTTTGACAGCTAGCATTTTATGGCTTATTTGTAAAAAATTTTGTTTGATTTCGTGCAATTGTTTATTTTTTGTGTCCCATCAAATATGGAAGATCGAAAGCAGCATCTTCGGCATATTTTGCTTTTTTATTACCAAAAAAATAAAAATGCCGTTCAAGCAAGAAAAAAATAGTGTGACATGTATGGTGGAGATGTGTTGACAGAACGACAGTGCCAAAACTGGTTTACAAAATTTTGTTCTGGCAATTTCAGTATTGAAGATGCACCATGTTATGGATGGCTAATTGAAGCCAATGAAAACAAAATAAAAGTACCGATTGAAGCAAACTGCGGAATAACAACACGTGAAATCACTAAGAGATTAAATTTGTCAAATTGAACTGTTTATGAGTACTTGAAACAAATTGGTTTCGTTTTAAAGCTCGATATATGAATTCCACGAGTTCTTAACGAGAAATGCTCTATTTGGTGGGATATTAAGGAAATTTTTTTTGGAGTTTTTACCAGACAATTTAACAATTGATTCGAAAGTGTACTGCGTTCGAGTAAACAAATTGCGTAATATCATCAAACAGAAAAAGCCAGCCAGAATTGATAAAAAAAAAAAACAGCTGTAGTGTTTTACCACAATAACGTCAAATTTCACACAAGTTTGGTAACTCGTCAGAAACTGTTATAACTTAGATGGGACCTGCTATCACACCAACCGTATTTGCCAGATAGAGCACACTCAGATTATTACTTGTTCTGGTCTGTACAATTTTTTTTAACTGTAAGACATTTACTTGAAATGACAATGTCAAAAATCACTTAAATCGGTTTTTTGTAAGAAACGATCAAAACTTTTATGAACGTGAAATCGTGCCATTACCAGAAACGATGACAACAGATATTTGACCAAAATGGTCAACATATAATTCAATAAAATATTTATTTATTATAAGAATATTGCGTTTTTTTCCACGGAAAAAAAACGAACTTACTTTCCGAACAACCCAATAAATGCTCGAAAGATTATAGGAGTCAACATTTTTACAATAAAACATTTCTGAAGATCTTTTGTCTCAGCTGCTGCCCCAACTGGAATCAACATAGAGTCATTTATATCAAAGCAGATTTTACAATTTATGTTTTTTATAAATAATTAACTATTTAACATGATAATTATTTAATATTAAATTATTCTTACACATAACAGCTATTTCATAAATCTACAAATTTTTGATTTCTTTATCATATTTGTTTTATTCCCCCTCTTACATTTTACTGCAACACAAGATAATGAAATTTTACACTAGATATGTATTGATAAATTTCTTAACAAGGCAATTTATAATTAATTAAATATAAATTTTAATAAAAGGTTTTCCTAGAGTTAAAAACTAAAACCTTTTTTCTACAACATATGAATAAAATGAATCATAATATGACTCATGGTCTATATATAGAAATAAACATTAATCTTTTTACAATTTTTTTATTTATTAATACCAATTCCATCCTAAATCTTCCCACAGCTGGTTATATACTAATAAATAACACAAACAAAATATTCAGAAATATACCAGCAAATGTAATTTGATATAAATATGCTATGACAAATATTTTCAATCCAAATAGGATCTGCTTCAGATCAAAATGTTCAATAG